AGACAAAAAAAAATTGTGGGTTGAGAAAAGAAAAATAGAGAAGGGGATTAAAATCTGGAGAATCGAACATTTACTGATAAAGTTAAATTTTAGATAGTTAATCAATTGAGATATGAAGATTCTTAAAAAAAAAACAAGCAATTAATATTGAGTATAAAATGTAAAAAATAATTATTTTTTCTTGATATAATAAAAGTAATAAATATATTTTAAATATATTGAACTAATAAAATTAAACGAAAAGGGTAATAAAGTAATTTGAACAATAAATAGAAAGTGATTGAAACTTATACATAAATCGCATTCCATGAAAGCGTTTTATGCCCTTTTTTTCTCCAACTCTTTATATTTGGTCAAAATCTATAGCCTTCCCACTCTACCACTGGGAACGATAATACGACTCGTTAAAGTAGATGACAGAGTTGTTGGTTGTATGAACAACTTGTATTAAAGTGTTGAAAACCTTGGAGAAGAAAATCTGTAGACAGAGTACTGCTGCTAAAAACACTCACTTGTCTAGCTAGTTAGGATGGAAACTTTAGTATAAAAAGGAGCCCAAACAAAGGTATTTCTTCTTCTTTAGCAACATTTTTTTTTGTGTTTGATCTGAAAGTTAGACAAATACTGCGAGAGATGAATGCATTGTTAGGGTTTTGCCCTGATTTTCTTTCCTTAATTGAAGTTTATTTTTTTTCCTTAAAGAAAAGTCAAAGTATTACCAAAAATGCTTGAACTTTTTCTGAAAAGGAAAATATAATTTTCTTCCATATTTGGTTTATTATTTCCTTAGAGGAAAAGTTTTGGAGATCCCTATTCTCATAGCATAACACAATAGAATCCACAATGTAGTTGTTTAGTGAGTTTTGTTTATAGGAGATTTAATCTCTCAACAGTTATAATATTTTTCTTTTAAATTTAGTTTTCTATATTAATAATATTATGTTTTAGTTATCACTTTATTTGTCATCTAATCTATCATCGTCTTGATTGCAATTGTAAGCTTCCGCATGATGTCCTAATCACCCTTTCGAACCCAACATGCATGGGGTAGAGGTTATGTGGCTTGGGGCTATGAGGTGGAGACGAAGATAAAGTGTGTTGAAGGATAAACACGAAATAATCAATATGAAATGTTATTTATGGAATTTGTGTTTTACCTACTTTTAACGGAAGAAGTAGCGTCTTATATATGTTTAAATTTATTTTCCTAGCTCTCTTTTTAGTTTGTTTAAAATGGAATGTCAATCTAGTATTTTTTCCGTTTTACAAAGAATAATGTAGTTTGATTTAACATAGAGTTTAAAGTTATATCAAATGTATCAAAATATCCCTTTAATCTGGTGGTTTTAACACATCATGTGTAAAGCTGAGTCATTTTTTTTAAATAGACTAAAAAAGAAAATAGATCATTGTTTTTGAAACGGAGGGAGTGATTGTTTAATTGTAACATCTCATGACATATTTAAGATTACAAGATTCAAAAGGCATTTTGATATATTCTACAATCTTTAGTTTAAGATCATAAGATTCAATAGTCTTCTTTTTGTATTAACCTTTGAGTGATTGAGTCTATTTAAGCTAATACACATAAATTGAAAGGGAATAAGTATTGGGATGTTATTGTAGTATTTATGGAATCTGGAATGCATGTTTATGTAATTATAATCATCCCTTGGATAATTGCTTGTTCTTTTTAATAGAATGCATAAACATATTTGCATATACAATAGTGTGCTAAAACTTGTGTCGTGTTCTGCTTCCATGTTCGTGTCATTTGAACATTGCTTACTTCCTTTTATCGTCGTTCTAACCTGGATCAGCTAGGCATTTGCTACCTCAAAATGGTTAAGAAGAAAGAATCTAAGATTCTATTGAAGCTTTTGTTGGATAAAAACAAGGATCAAGTTGTTGCAGCTGAATCCGGTGTAGATTTTATGGACATACTTGTTAGCCTTCTGACTTTACCAATGGGAACAATAATACGACTCGTTAAAGCAGAGGCTGGAACTGTTGGTTGTATGAATAACTTGTACCAACGTGTTGAAAATCTCGATGAGGAAGATCTGTACATAGAACATTGGAAAAACTTGTTACTGAATCCGATAAATCCATATCCAAAATATTGCATGAAGTTAAAAGTGAACTTAGATGATTCAGGGTCTAAGTATTACAAGTGTTCAGATTGTCGATACAACAGCTAATACATGAATGTTGAGTGCAAATGTAATGGGAAATATAACAAAGAGACGTTTCTGAAAGATTCAGCTGAAAATACTTGTTGCGATGAGTATGTCTTTCTTAAAGGAGGGATAACATTTCTGATCTCTGACGGCTTACAAGTCAAGGTTGCTTCTCCAAGCTCACTTGTTCAGATGCTTTCGAATGTTGGCCTGAGTGCTATGAATCATATCGAGGAGATGCATGCAGAAATTGGCAAAAATGAGGTAATATGATCCTTTACCATCCGAATTCTTGATATAAAAATTGTATCTTTATGTGGTTGCTTGTATGTTCTACATGCTTTGTTGTGATTCTTCGTATATTGTCATTTGCAGCTAATAACACAATCCTTTTCTCGACCATTTAGGTGATTCATCTACTTGTGAGTTCATTGATCTCAAAGACTCCCTTGTCTGATGTGTTTCTGCCCAAGCAAAAACAAAAAAGGGCAAGAGTAGACACTATCACAATGTCCGAGTCTGGATCGTCCATTTCTGAAAATGGAACCAGGAATAACACCAAGAAATTGGAGCTGAAGCTAACAGTAAGAAAGTCTACAAACATGATCTTGTGTGCCGAATCAGGCAATGATTTTGTTGATTCTCTCTTCAATTTCTTGACGATTCCTCTAGGATCAATTGAAGATGTTCTAAAAGGGAATTCTGGATTGGGATGCATAGATAACTTGTACAAAAGTGTGGAGAATTTTGATTCAAAATGGTTCAATACGCCGCCTCCAAATATGAATATTCACAGACATGAGGAGAATCTTAAGATGATATTACTCAAGCCTGGTATTGGCCCTAACCATAAATCCAAGAATCTTCTGCTGCAGATTAAAAGAAGGGTTTGAACCTTACTTTCATGATCCAAGGCAATCCGTAGGTAGTAATCGTAGTGAGTTTGAAAAGTTTGCAAAGGAACCCTCCCTTTTCTATGTTATGGACAATTTAGAAGTGAGACCATTGTCTTCTACATCAACTATTTGCTTACTCCAAGAACTAAATGTTCCTCTGCATGATATTGAAGAGCAAATGATCAGTGTTGGCGAGTTGGAAGCATTGAGCTTGCTGAAGGCCTCTTTAACATCTACATCATCAGCATTGACAGCGGGCCTAAACCACATGTTGAAGAAGATGTGAAGTCTAATGCGAAGAAACTTTGTCGTGCTGGTTAGCAAATACATGTTATAACCTTTTGCAGTACTTGTCAAGTTGTCATTGTATTTTACACTCACTTGCCTAGCTTCTTATGTTAAGTCTCAAAACTTTGGTTTCCTGTACTCCTTTTAGAGGTTGGTGAGATTTGTATTGTGCACTCACTTGCTTATGTGAAGTTTGTATTTTGGCAAAAAAATTTGGACCATTTCTCGATTTGTGCGTGTCATCCTTGCGCAATGGCCATGCTAATCTTCTCTGTATCGTTCCAATTTTATTAGATGTCCCAAAGGGACAAACTGTAGTGTTAAGGTTCTGCAATATAAATAGCACATAGCTTTTCTCTATAAGCATGAGGGAGAAATAGCTGGTTGGGTTTTTCTGTTAACACAGGCCTGGACTCCTTTAAACACTTGTTTCAATGAAGCCCAGTTTTGGGGTGACTTAATTTGATGATGGGCATGTCTTCTTATTTACATGGTCTTCTTTAATTTTAGTTATGAATGAAACTATGTATGCACTTATATTTGTTATGCAGCGATTGTTATTCATGTATTAATTATTTCAATTTTATTGTGACTTATACATGTATTAGTTATGCGGATTTCTAAATAACAAACCAAACACATTATTAAATTCACACATGAATAATTTACTTCATATTTAACTATCAAAATTGTATTACTTATGCAAGATTTAATACCTGCATAACTTCTAGATTAGCTACCAAATGACCCCTAACAAATTTCCTAGATTAAGAGGATCACACAATGCATAAAAATATTATGTTACCCTATTTGTGCAGTATAATTTTTCAATGAAAGAAATCTAATTGAGCTCCTTTCATGAGAGGTAGCTCCGCGCTGAGTGGAGGCATTTCAAATGGGATCTCCTTTTAATTTGTTTGGTCTATTTTTCTTTTTAGTCTATGAAAAAATACTACCTCTTTTTATTTTTATTTTAACAATTCTTTAATTTCAATTTTCACCTATCATATTTAAAACCGCAAAATTAAAAAAGAATATTTTTTTCATTTTTTTTTTCATGTCATATCAAAATATGTCAAATAAATTAAAACGGAGTGAGTACGTCTTTGTGGGAAATCACCAATTAGCAGGGAAATAAGACCATTTGAGCGGGAAAAAGAGAGTAAAAAACCCTAAGTTATAGAATATCTGAGTAGATTTCATCAGTGTTCATTGAAGAAGAAATCGACCTGGTAATTTTCTCTTCTTTTTTTTTTCTTATTATGCCAGTTCTTTGTATTTAAGTTGGAATATGTAGAGGAGTACTAGAACTAGGGTTGTTCAAAATCGAAACGTAATATAGTTCAATCACATTATTGATTTATTGGTACTGGATTAATGTTTTGGGAATACTTGAGCCTAAGAGTCTATCAAAATTAACCTCTATACCTCAATAGGTGTAAGGTCTGTGTACACTCTATCCTTTTTAGATTCTACTTGTGGGATTATACCTCGGGTATGTGTTTACCATTGATGTTGTCATTTAATTTTTGTGGTATTAGGATGTTCCTTTAGGTATATAATGAATCTGGAATGCGTGTTTATGTCCTTATAATCATCCCTTTGCGTAGTGATTTGTTGATTTAATATATTTTAGAAGCATCTTTGCAAATATAATGGCTTGAAATAATTTGTGTTATGTTCGTGTTAATTTCATCTTTTTGTTTCAACTGAAAGCCAGAAAATTATTTTATTCATGTTATCTTGGTTCTGGACTAATTACTCGTAACACGGATCACCAGTTAATTGCTTTAAAATGGAAAACAAGCAAGAACCTAAGTTTCTCTTGAAGCTTCTGGTGGATGAAAGTAAGGATCAAGTTGTTGCAGCTGAATCAGGAATAGATTTTATGGACATACTTGTTAGCCTTCTCACTTTACCAATGGGAACAATAATACGACTCATTAAAGCGAAGGATGGAGTTGTTGGTTGTATGAACAACTTGTACCAAAGTGTTGAAAACCTTAGTGAGGAAGATGACATGTTCTTAGATCATTGCAAAACCATGTTGCTAAATCCAAGAAATCCCTATCCAAAGTATTGCATGAGGTTGAAAGTTGACGTAAATGATTCAGGCTCCGAGAAGTATTATCAATGTCCATCTTGCCCAAACAAAAGCTATTTCATGAATGTTGATTGCCCGTGTTATGGGCAATTTAATAAAGAGACATTTCTGAAAGATTTAGTTGAAAATACTTGTCGTGATGAGTATGTCTTTCTTAAAGAAGGGATATCATTTCTAATCTCTGACGATTTACAAGTCAAGTCTGCTTCTCCAAGTTCTCTTGTTCAGATGCTTTCTAGTGTTGGCCTAAGTAATTTGAATCAGATTAAGGAGATGCATATAGAAGTTGGCAAGGATGAGGTAATGTCTTTTACCATCTGTTTAAGAGATTTACAAGGCCTCTATGTTTCTACGCTCTTAATATGAAAAAACATGCTTTCCGTTGTTATGTTTGCCTTTACATGTTTTATTGTGAATTTCGTAGATTGTCATTTGCAGCTAGTAATATGATTCTTTTCTTGACCATTTAGGTGATTCATCTACTTGCTCGTTCATTTATCTCAAAGACTCCCTTGTCTGATGTGTTTCTGCCCAAGCAAAATAAAAAAAGAGATAGAGTAGGCACTACCACAGTAACCGAGTTTGGAAATTTGCCGTCCATTTCTGAAAACAGAACAAGCAATAACACCATGAAATTGGAGCTGAAGCTAACAGTGAGAAAGTCTACAAACAAGGTCTTATGTGCCGAAGCAAGCAATGATTTTATTGATTTTCTCTTCAACTTCTTGACGATTCCTATAGGATCAATTGAAGATGTTCTAAAAGGGAATTCGGGATTGGGATGCATAGATAACTTCTATAAAAGTGTGGAGGCAGTAGATTTGAAATGGTTCAATACGCCTTCAAATAGGAACAGTTACACACATGAGAAAAATGTTAAGACGATATTACTCAATCCCGGTGTTGCCCCTCACCATAAATCTGAGTATCAGCTGCTGCAGATTTCTGAAAGAAGATCAGAAATTCATAGCTTGTATGATATAAGGCAATATGTAAGAGGTGCTTATGTTGAAAAGTTCGAAAAGTTTACAAAGGAACCTTCCCTTTTCTACATTATGGACCATTTGGAAGTGAGACCTCTGTCTTCTTCATCAACTATTTGCTTACTCCAAGAACTAAATGTGCCCATCAATGATGTTGAAGAGCAAACGATCAGTGTTGGCGAGTTGGAAGCATTGAACTTGCTAAAGGCCTCTTTGACATCATCATCATCAGCTTTGACAGAGGGCCTAAATCAAAAGTTGAAGAAGCAGGTAGATGAAGATGTGAAATGTAACGCGAAGAAACTTTGTTGCGCTGGTTAGCAAACACATAGATAACTCTCATGTCTAGCTTTTTGTGTTTTGCCTCAAAACTTGGTTCCATGTACATCAAAGCCTTGGTTCAAAGTTGAGTGTTTTCAGATTGAATTAGATATTGATCAATCATTTGTAGTTTATTATTTCACCAGTTTTTGAGGTTTCCTCAAAAGATGATTAGTCCATATCGATAAATTTAGCGTATATTATTACTTCCAAATGACTTTATAATGTGAAAAATATTCTTAATTAACATTATAATTGCATAAAATTAAATTATAGTATCGTCAATATAACAAAACCAACATGAATTTACATGGGATGGCTTACTAAGGAGTGATGTTTAATTTGTAACCACGTTAAAAAAAGTTTTTTTCCGCCATAATTTAAACATGAAATATAACTTAAATAGGAATATTTTAATAAAATTAAAAATTGAGGGTTTTCCAATTTTTAAATACAATTTTAATTTATATTGAAACTTTCATCACTAAATTCAATTTATAATATTCTGATTTCTGAGACATGAGCAATTAGCGGGAAATTCAGAGGAGCATTTGAGCGGGAGACTCTGCCATTAATATTAAGAAGAAACCCTAAAAAAGAACAAATCCAATCTCCATGAAAAGGTATTTTTCACTTCTTTTTCTTCCTTTGATCAACTCCCATTTCTCTTATACTATATGATTTAATTTTTATCCCTAAAAATTATAATCATATGCTATTCCTGTATAATGTAACAAAACTATGGGATTTGAATATTTGAGTCGAATTAATTTTTCAATTCAATTGAACCTCTTGACTTGTATAAGTTGATGAATTGTAGCTATCTGAATGTACTCTAGTAGTTTTGGAATTGTTGTGAATGATATTGATTACAATGAGATGTGTTTAAATAGAGTAACATAATCAGTGATGATTCATATGGCGGACTCTAACTAGTTAGTACTAAGTTTGGTGTGAGGGATAAGAACAAATAGTCCTGGGATAAAATTTAGATGTCTTGTTTGGTTGACATGTTTGGGATAACTTATCCCACCATTTATAGCATACTGATGAGATAAGTTATCTCATATACATGGTGGGATAAGTTATCCCAGGATAGTTAATTATGGGATAACTAGTTCCCAACCAAACGACCCCTAAATGTTGGCTTAATGACGGTATTAGGATGTTCTTTTACTAATATTAATGAATCTGGAATGCTTGTTTATGTTATTATAATCATCCCCTGCATAATTATTTGTTGATTTAATATCATATAAGAACATTGATCTTTGCAAATACAATAGTGTGGAAAAACTTGTGTCATGTTTCCTTAATTTCTTAACATATTCGTGAGTATGTGTCATCTGAACAAGTTCTTACTTCTTTATACTCTTGTTATCTTTGATTCTGGACTAATTACGAATAAAATGTATCAGTTTACTGTTTTAAAATGGAAAACAAGGAAGAATCTAAGGTTTTCTTGAAGCTTTTGGTGGATGAAAAGAAAGAACAAGTTGTTGCAGCTGAAGCCAAAGCAGATTTTATGGACATACTCTTTAGCCTTCTTACTTTACCACTCGGAACGATAATACAACTCATTAGAAAAGCAGAGGGCAGAGATGTTGGTTGTATGAACCACTTGCGTCGAAGTGTTGAAAATCTCAGTGAGAAATATCTTCTCATAGAACATTGCAAAACCATGCTGCTAAGTCCAAGAAATCCCTATCCAAAGTATTGCATGAGGTTGAAAGTAGACGTAAATGATTCAGGTTCCGAGAAGTATTATCAGTGTTCAGAATGCTCAAAGAAAAGCTATTTCACGAATGTTGAGTGCTCATGTGATGGGACGTTTAATAAAGAGACAGTTCTGAAAGATTTAGTTGAAATTACTTGTTGTGACGAGTATGTCTTTCTTAAAGGAGGGATGTCATTTCTAATCTCTGATGATTTACAAGTCAAGTGTGCTTCTCCAAGTTCTCTTGTTCAGATGATTTCTAATGTTGGCCTGAATGATATGAATCGGATTAAGGAAATGAAAGTAGAAGTTGGCAAGAACGAGGTAATATCCTTTACAATCCGCTCAAGAGATTTAGCTATTACTTATTTACGAGGCCTCTATGTTTCTACTCTCTTTATATTAAAAACATGCTTTCTGATAATATGTTTGCTCTTACATGTTTTATGGTGATTTTCGTAGATTGTCATTTGCAGCTAGTAATATGATTCTTTTCTCTACCATTTAGGTGATTTGTCTACTTGCTCGTTCATTTATCTCAAAAACTCCTTTGTCTGATGTGTTTCTGCCCAAGCAAAAACAAAAAAGGGCAAGGGTAGACACTAAAATGATGTCCGAGTTTGGAAATTTGTCGTCTGAAAATGGAACGAGTAATAACACCAAGAAATTGGAGCTGAAGCTAACAGTAAGAAAGTCCACAAACAAGGTCTTGTGTGCAGAAGCAGGCAATGATTTTGTTGATTTTCTCTTCGGCTTCTTGACGATTCCTATAGGATCAATTGAAGATGCTCTAAAAGGGAGTTCTGGATTGGGATGCATAGATAACTTCTATAAAAGTGTGGAGGCTTTAGATTCGAAATGGTTCAATATGCGTCCAAAGCAGAATACTTACTGGAATGAGGAGATTCCTAGTGTCAACCTTAAGATGATATTACTCAATCCCGGTGTTGCCCCTTACCATAATTCTGAGTATCAGCTGCTGCAGATTTCTGAAGGAAAATCAGAAATTTATAACTTGCACGATATAAGGCAGTTTGTAAGGGGTGCTTTTGTTGCCAAATGTCAAAGGTTTGCCAAGGAACCCTTCCTTTTCTACGTTATGGACAATTTGGAAGTGAGATCTTTGTCTTCTACGTCAACTATTTGCTTACTGCGTGAACTAAACGTGCCCCTGAATGATATTGAGGAGCAAATGATCAGTATTGGCGAGTCGGAAGCATTGAACTTGCTGAAGGCCTCTTTGACATCATCATCATCAGCTTTGACAGAGGGCCTAAATCACAGGTTGAAGAAGCAGATAGACGAAGATGTGCAGTGTAACGTGAAGAAAATTTGTCGTGCTGGTTAGCAAACACATAGATAGCTCTTTTGATTCCCTGTACATCAAAGCCTTGTTGGAGAGGCAAGTGTTTTCAGATATGAATCAATCATTTTGTAGTTCTATTATTCACCAGTTTTGGAGGTTTCCTCAATAGATGATTTGGTCCATGAAGTTAATGTTGTCATAGCTGCAAGCCACTCTAAATGTAACTTCTGGCCTCTTGTTTTTCCTCCCTCATGATGAATCTTTATAAATTCCACCTAATTTCTTATTACTGAAAATATATTTATTTTTACATCTTTCAGAAACAGTCTCTCTACCTCCACGAGGTAGTAGTAAGGTCTACGACATTGTACATTCTACTCTCCCTAGACCTCACTTGTGAGATTTCATTGGGTATTACTAAGTGGGACAATCTCTTCTTTTTTGCTTTATGTCTATTTTCTTGCAGTTGTATCTTCTTCACATTTAAAATTCATTAATTCAATAACCCAAAGCCAATAGCATTTTTTTCTGGTTCGATTAATTGATTAAACCAATCTATGCACACCCCTATTTCCATTAAAAGTTTCATCTCGATAGTAATCACTAAAACAAGTAAAAAATCTTAATAAGGTTCAGCATGAATTCAAATCAAATGGTTTTTTTCTTTAATAAATCTTATACAAAGGAAAATATTGGAAGTAACACTAAAACCAAATACTGAATGATATTATCAAGAACAACAATATACTACTTGTCTCACAATTTCAAAGAAAATCTCAAATCTCATGTTCCTTATAGGCAAACCAATTATCTTGAAACAGTGAGAATAAGCAAACAATCCAGAATCAGAATTTCAATCCAAGAAATAGAACATAGAGAATATTGCATTGGCACCAGATGCTAAAGAACAGCATATGACAAAAAAAGTGGTCCAAATCTACTAGTACTAGTAAAGAATTGTTACTTTTAGAGTAGCTTGCAGCTATGACATGTAATTAGATTTACCCTCTTATCAACTTAGGACAAAATTAACACTTCATGGACTAATCATCTATAGAGGTCAATCAAAAAATACTTGACCCTGCATCAAGGCTTTGATGTACAGGCCACAGGGGACCAAGTTTTGAGGCTAAAACACAAGAAAGTTATCCATGTGTTTGCTAACAAAGTTTCTTCGCGTTACACTTCACATTTTTGTCTATCTGCATCTTCAACTGGTGATTTAAGCCCTCTGTCAAAGCTGATGATGATGATGTCAAAGAGGCCTTCAGCAAGTTCAATGCTTCTGATTCGCCAACACTGATCATTTGCTCTTCAATATCATTCATGGGCACATTTAGTTCTTGAAGTAAGCAAATAGTTGATGTAGAAGACAAAGGTCTTACTTCCAAATTGTCCATAACGTAGAAAGCGGAGGGTTCCTTTGCAAACTTATGAAATTTGGGAACATGACTACCCCTTATATGTTGCCTTGGATCATACAAATCGTAAAATTCTGATTCTCCTTCAGAAATCTGTAGCAGCTGATACTCAGAATTATAATGTGTGGCAACATTGGGCTTGAGTAATATTGTCTTAAGGTTGTCCTTGAATTTATCCTCACTCTGGTAACTATTCTGCTTTGGACGCTTATTGAACCATTTCAAATCTAAAGCCTCCACGCTTTTATAGAAGTTATCGATACATCTCAAGCCAGAACTCCCTTTTAGAACATCTTCAATTGATCCTATAGGAATCGTCAAGAAGTTGAAGAGAAAATCAATAAAATCATTGCCTGCTTCTGCACACAAGACCTTGTTTGTAGACTTTCTTACTGTTAGCTTCAGCTCCAACTTCTTGGTGTTATTACTCGTTCCATTTTCAGAAATAGACGACAAATTTCCAGACTCGGACATTATTATAGTGTCTACTTGTGCCCTTTTTTGTTTTTGCTTGGGCAGAAACACATCAGACAAGGGAGTCTTTGAGATAAATGAACGAGCAAGTAGACGAATCACCTAAATGGTCCAGAAAAAGATCATGTTACTAGCTGCAAATGCCAATTTACGAAAATCACAGCAAAACATGTAAAAGCAAACATGTCATCAGAAAGCATAATTGTCATCGGATGGTAAAGGACAATACCTCGTTCCTGCCAACTTCTACATTCATCTCCTTAATCTGATTCATATCACTCAGGCCAACATTAGAAAGCATCTGGAAAAGAGTGCTTGGAGAAGCACGCTTGAATTGCAAGTCATCACTGATAAGATATGATATCCCTCCTATGAGAAATACGTACTTATCACGACAAGACTCACTTAAAATAGTCTCTTTATCAAATTTCCCATTACATGGGCACTCAACATTCATGAAATAGCTTCGCTTTGAGCAATACTTTCGTGTAGTCCAACCTGAACACCCATAATACTTCTCGGAGCCTGAATCATCTATGTTCACTTTCAACCTCATACAATACTTTGGATAGGGATTTCTTGGATTTAGCAGCATGGTTTTGCAATGCTCTATGAACAGATCTTCCACAGCGAGGTTTTCAACACTTTGGTACAAGTTGTTCATACAACCAACAACTCCAGCCTCTGCTTTAATGAGTCGTATTATTGTTCCCAATGGTAAAGTAAGAAGGCTAACGAATATGTCCATAAAATCTACTTTGGCTTCAGCTGCAACAACTTGATCCTTCTTTTCATCCACCAATAGCTTCAACACAACCTTAGATTCTTCCTCGTCTTCCATTTTAAAGCAGTTAACTGATGTAGCACGCTCCTTGCTGATCCAAGTTATCAGTAATTAGTCGATAACCAAGATAACGAGAGTAAAATGATTTTCTGGCTTTCAGTTGAAGTTAAAAAGAGGCAAGCAATTAAGAAACATGACACACGTTTCTGCACATTTTTTAGCGGCAATTAGCACAGTTTGTAAATGTCCCTAAAACCTATAGTGACATTGGATCCAATCGCAATTAACTAATACTGGTAAAGACTTTATCACTCTTTGTTAATGTGTACATTTATTGTCACTAAAAGTTATTTTTGTTGTAGTGATTATGCCTAATACCACCATAAACACACATCCCTTAATAACTCTCCAACTAGGGGCAAATTTAAAATTTTTAGAACATGGGTGCACCATTGAAAAAAGAAGGCGAAAATACATGAAGTGGAAATTTACGCAAGTAACTCAATATCTTTATACTGTAGATATCAATAGTTAAAATATATACATAAAATACCTAGTTTCAGAGAGAGACCACGAACTCATGTGCCCCGTTTTTAACAGGTGATAAATTTATCCCTACCCAACTAGTTAGGATCGGCTATACCTTATGGACTATTTTACTCTATTTAAACTCATTTCACGCCAATATCATACATGCCAATCCAAACTATATTAAAGTCCATTTATTTTATTGAATCCCATTTGCCGAAAAAACTGTAGAGCGCAAATAGGGCAAAAACAAACAATAATTCGACCCAAAAATTCCATACACAGTCATTTTAGGGACAACAAGTTATATAACATTATACGTGAATAACATAAGATTATAATTTTAAGGGGTAAAAATTATTCATTGACGATTGGAGAAGAAGGAAAAATACCTTTTAATGGAGAGTGGATTTGTTCTTGTTAGAAAGCTAATCTTTTTTTAGGGTTTCTTCCTAATCTTAATACTAATGCCCAATGGTTTCCCGCTCAAATGATCTTATTTCGCTCTAACTTTAATGGAGTCATTTGCACAAGTAGGATTTTTGGGTGTCACTAATTAAGTTTTAGGAAATTTATACAAATTTCACGAGTTTATGACTTTAATATACTTTAATTTGCAATATTATGAATTTAATCAGATTTTGGTGTGTCTAGATATATGAGATCAAAATTAGGTGTGATTTGTTCTACATACATTTGTATCAAAGTGGATTCGCATGTTTATGAGATACATGGATAAAACTCGCTTGCCACTCTCCTTTGTATTTGATATATATCTTAGATACGTACGGATATATGTATCTAATGTGTATATAGTGTGATTCACATATATCTGAGATACATGATTATCTCGCTAGCCTCTCCCTATTTTAGTCTATCTGGTAGCAAAATACATGTATCTAAGTGTATATTTCTCAATATATGGTAGAAAACTCTTAATTAATGATAAAATACATAGTTATTTGAAAGTCTAGGTAAAATCATTCATTTGGCAAATTTACTACCCACTATCTCTCTATTCATTGCAAGGAAGAATTCATCACATATAAATAGTGTGGTCTTCCTTGTGTTGGGTAGAAGTAGAAACAACAAGAAATATAAAAGAGAAAGAGTGGAAGAAAAGATGAGAAATATTATATTGTGTATATTGAGTAAGTGTAGTGAACGAGAGAGTTGAGACAGAGAAAATATTTTAAGTCTTTAACTATATTCACTATACAAAGGAGAATATTCATATGTTGAAGGAAAGTGTTCTTGTGTGGAGTTTTGGACTCTTCAACTAATTCAGAGTTGTACAACGTTATTGGACTATTGTATCCTGGAGAGGACAAGTCAAGAGTGATACTGCTGGATCGGTGTAGATTATGCCGTAGTTGACTTGAATCTTCTTAAAGAGAGTGAGATATTCGTGCCTCAGTCTAAAAATTTGTTTATTCATTTTTGTCATTTTATTTTCAACTATAATATTTTGTATTTGTGGTATATTACACTGCCTTATCATGATAATCATCGTGATTTCTAACTAGATCATGACGTCTCAATTAAATGTTTTCTTCCAACTAAACACATCCCATATTTATATTATTCGACATTGGTTAATTTGATTATTTATCCCACTTTTAGCCTATGCACAGGGGCGTAGCTATGTTAAAGTCAGGGTGTTAAATTGAATATCCTTCGTCAAAAACTAATATCATATTTATGTAAAATTATATACGAAGTGATTAAATAACATATTTTGGACATTCTTAACAGAACAAGGTGTTGTTGCCCAATCGTTTCATTATTTCTGTCACAATTAACAAATCTACCATGTGAAATAGGTGTACTTCACCATGGCCCTTGAATGTATGACAAGCCGTATATTCGATAGGAAAGAGTAACGTTTACGCATCCTTAATAAAATGTTAGATGATGAATGAGGATCTAATCAGCATATGTGCAAAGCTCCAACCAATCATGATTATCTAATAAAGTGTGCTTTATTCATTATTCTAAAATTCAACAATTAATAAAATAATTAGGTCAAAAGCACATGGTTGAGTGGATGAGTTTGATCAACTTGTAAATATATTATTGCCTTTATTCATCTCTAGCTTCATTATTATTATTTTATTAGGTTCTATTTAATTTCTCGTATTTGATATTTGCATTAAAATTCAATTAATTTTGATTCACATGATATAAAACCCCAATCACACTACTCGAATTTAAAACCTTTAATTAAGGGGAGTAACAATTGAATAACAAAAAAAAATCTGTTGGGAGTGCCACCCCCGAATAGACCCTGTAGAGCGCGATTCAAATTTAATCGAAACTCTAATGTGGGCTCCGAGAAACAAAAAAAAAAAACAATTGAATAGCAAAGGAAAACAGAGTAGTGCTGACTGAGCAAGCAAAAGCCCAATTGAAATATTAGTAGTAAATGACAGCAATGGCCGTTGCGTAGGACAAGCACAGCAGCAGCCCCGTTTTCGCTTTTCCCAAGATCTCTCTGCAAAATCCTTAGCCTTCTTTACTATATAATAGCCCCTAAAACCCCATTTTTTACTATACCCATTTCTTACTCTTGCTCTGTGATCATCCTTTCTTCTAGGAGTAGCCATCTCCTAGAACCCTTTTAGTTTCTCTTTGTGTTTTTTTGGTCAATTTAGTCATGGGAGGAGGAGATCACGGCGGCAAATCGGATATCTCATTCGCCGGAATATTCGCAAGTAGTGCCTTTGCTGCTTGTTTCGCTGAGGTAATTCTTCCATCAATCTAATCCCTTTTTTGCAATCCTGTCTTGAAACTTGCTTTGTTGATTCAGTCTTACATCTGTTGCTAAGATTTTTGATGATTCGAATAGGATAAATGGGGTTGTTTCCTTTTCCTTTTTTTTTTTGTTTCTGGATTGTCAGGAATTGTTGATCCCCATTGAGCTGTTAAGTGTTTATGAGCTTATAATCCTTTACTGGATTGCTTTGCTGGTCAATTTAAGTTTTGTTTAATCTCCTAATGCTGTATGTTTGTATTAAGGTGCAATCTGTTTTGGCAGATAAATGAGTCTCTTGGTTGAGTGTTTGAGTCATGCGAGAGGGTAAGTAAGAATACTATTGATCCTCCTTTTGGGGGGCGGGGGGATCTGTTTCGGCAGATAAGTGAGGCTTGGTTGGAGGTTTGAGTCACACTGGAGGGTAAGTAGGAACACTATTGATCCTCCTTTTAGGGGGTGGGGAATCTGTTTCAGCAAATAAGTGAGGCTTGGTTGGAGGTGTGACTCACACTGGAGGGTATGTAGGAACAGTATTGATCCTCCTTTTAGGGAGGTGGGGAATCTGTTTCGGCAGATAATTGAGGCTTGGTTGAGGGTTCGAGTCACACTGGAGGGTAAGTAGGAACATTATTGATCCTCCTAGAAGAAAGTGAGGTTTGATTTGTTCTGTATTTAGTTTAAGAGATTAATCACCTTACTACAGCATCTGTTAGGAAGGGAAAAGAGGATATCGGATGACCTTTAAACAAGGTGATGATGGTACAAAATAAATTTGTACTCATGTTTCCTTAAAAATAATTACTTGTAGAAATTTGGTGGACTTGATTGTGTGAATACTTTTATGAAAAACCATGACTTGCTTAATTTTGGAGGAATCAGTTTTCTATCTTTTGCTTTTTATGAAGCTAGGCCTTGATGATGTATGTAGTTTTCAAAGAACAGTGTATTGCGTATGGTTGTATGAAATGAGGTTTGTTAAGTTTTGATTGCGTCTTTTGGGTCATCCGACATGTATGGTGTCTACATGTAGTAGATCGTTTTGAAGTGTGCATGCCGTGCTATTATTCGTGTTATTGATTCCTTCGCTGCCTGTTAATCTTGTTTGCTGCATACAAAATTCTGTTCTCCAGGCGTGTACTTTACCATTGGATACTGCTAAAGTTAGACTTCAGCTTCAAAAGAAGGCAGTTGAAGGGGATGGGCTAGCTTTACCTAAATATAGGGGATTATTAGGTACTGTTGGCACCATTGCAAAGGAAGAAGGAATAGCTTCACTATGGAAGGGTATCGTACCTGGGTTACATCGTCAATGTATATATGGAGGTCTTCGGATTGGGATGTATGAACCTGTAAGTTAACATTTCTAGCTTAAACAGCTACAAGTTTATTTTGGCCTTTTACGGACTGTTTGCTGGGTGACCAGGTTAAAAACTTATATGTTGGCAAAGATCATGTTGGGGATGTGCCATTGTCAAAGAAAATACTTGCTGCACTTACAACTGGTGAGTGCCTTTTAGATGTTTTGCGTTTATTGTCACTTTGCTCGAGAGTAAATGGACAGCGAAGCTTTTATATCCATTTAGAAAACATCTGGACATAGGCTATAGAAGTTCAGTGTTAAGATTATCAATAACATACTTCTGTTTTTCCTTGTATTATTCTTTTATACTGTCTGGTCTTTCAATATATTTTAAAGTAATTTGGTGATTCTTTATCAAATAGGTGCGTTGGGCATTACAATTGCAAATCCTACAGATCTAGTTAAAGTACGTCTTCAAGCTGAAGGAAAATTGCCAGCAGGTGTGCCGAGGCGTTATTCTGGAGCTCTAAATGCCTACTCAACAATAGTGAAACAGGTTATATGTCTTGTCTAGCTCAGTTGTTTACTAAATCATGATAACTAACGACACGCGGGGCTGTGAAATTGTGTACACCTACTTTGAATCATGACTTGGAAATTAGTTACCCCTTGAATTGAAATTCAATATTACCTAAACAATTATATATGTGTTGCTATTCAAACTCCCACAATGTCTACCTATCAAGCGGACATACAACCTGCAAAAATATGTGCCTTTAGTATGTAACATTTAACAACTATTATGTCCCTAGAATTGGATACATGACATTTCTTAAAGATTCTTTCGTTGAACTATTCTTTGATAACTGATTCTTTGTTCGACTTTCTCATTCTCCATCTAACTTAGTGTATTCGTTTATCATTCTCAGAGAAAAAGGGTAGTACTTTTCTTCTCTGTGTGGTTTCCATTCTCCTGGAAATGTTAGGAAATTATGAAAAGTTCTATTTCATTTAAATTAATCAAATCCCCAGGTCTGTCAGCTTACTGGAGCATTTGCAATATAATGTAAATAGAACAGGTTTCACATGTGAAAATTTGAGGAAACTCATTGTTGAGTCATAGTTTTCCCAACAAAATAAGACTCCTATTTGAACTTGCATGTTAACCTCTTTGCATTTTGTTTCTACCATATCTTGATTTTAGGAAGGAGTTCGAGCTCTGTGGACTGGTCTTGGACCCAATATTGGGCGGAATGCCATCATCAATGCAGCTGAATTAGCAAGTTATGATCAAGTGAAGGAGGTAGAGAAACCATAAATTTCTTATTCCCACCTCATTTTCCGGACCATCTAATGTGGTGTTTTCTTGAATTTGGATGTTTACATTGTCATTCTTTTCACTGTTTGTTCTTTAAAAATTTCTGTGCAGGCTGTTCTTAGGATTCCTGGGTTCACAGACAATGTTGTTACTCATTTGATTGCGGGGCTTGGAGCTGGTTTTTTTGCAGTTTGCATAGGGTCTCCTGTTGATGTGGTATCTTCTATGTTTCTTATTATTTGAAATTGCTTTCCTTTTAGTCCTTTCTGACGGCAGCCCATGATTCAGTAATATTTGTTAGTATTTTAGATCTTCTTGCCCAAATAGAGGATCTTCTTGGCTATATAGGGGGAAAAGTTATGCATAGTCTTACTTTTCATGAAAAAGATTATCAAAGTCAATATCTAGCCTGTTAAACACACGCCTTCATCTTGTGAATTTGAAGTCCTCTGCTCATGAATTTTCTTTATTATTGTGCAGTGCGTGCCTAATAATAAAACTCTAGTTTGGCTGGGGTAAATGGAGGAGGGATTAAAGGATTAAAAGTAACATTGGGAGTGTAAGGGGATGTCTTGTAATTAAAAAAGGATCAATAAAAAATAAAATAAAGAGAGATAATCTGTCCTAAATTGGGCGGAAGCATGTCTATTTTACAAATATTAAAACCATACAAAGAATCATAAACAAATATAGATAATTCACTTAACAAGTTACTTTTTCTTTTCTCAACCGTTTCCTTCCCCTTCCTGGAATCAAACATAGTAGAGCTGGGATCAACAGTACTGATATCTTGTTACTTGGTTGTGTATGATGGCAATACCGATTTTTTTCAAATTTGCGTACTTAAGAAGTTCACCAAACACCAAAATGCTTCTTATATTTTGGTTAGGTGATTTTTATTCAACACTAATCTTTTAGATCACCATTTTTAATCTGTCTTCTAATTTCATCCCTTTAAAGTTGCATTATCAATAGACTTTGTAAAAATTTATTAGATTAATTTTGTTGATTATTCTTGTATAGCCATGAAGCACTGACATGGTAAACTGTGGATGCAGGTAAAGTCGAGAATGATGGGAGATTCCGCATACAAAAATACTCTTGATTGTTTTGTCAAAACATTGAAGAATGATGTGAGTTCATGATCTGTCCTTTCTATTGGTTATTGAAGAATCCAGCCGTTTTGCAGACATAAATTTTCCTCTTAGTCTTTTTGTTTAAATAACTTATCGTGGCTTCTTATTAGATGCAGAACTCTACCTAAAACAACATAACCTCTCATTTCTCTCAAGATAGTTTAATTTTTTTTACTAAAATCAGATCCCTATTATTACAAATTTTCCCTACTGCTATTAGTTTTTTGGTTGTGTAGTTTTCAGTTCCTTGCCAACAGCAACTTTAATGTGTAATGACTGCAAAAATGACACTTCTCCTATGGCCTTTATGTTTGCAGGGACCTTTGGCTTTCTACAAAGGCTTTATCCCAAATTTTGGACGCTTGGGATCTTGGAATGTCATTATGTTTCTAACATTGGAGCAGGTAAAGAGTGGAACCATATTCCCAGCGACACAAATTCTTTTCCATTTCACAATTATTTATAAAACTTTATGCCAGATTACTATTCCAGACTAGCACATGTTTTGCTTCAATGAGAGGCTTTCTCAATTTCCAGTTGCTTCCTGTTTCAACTGTTGACTTGGCAACACTTTGTTCCATTAGGCTTTGACAAATTCCTGATGAATAGCTGACTGGCTTACCCTTTGTTTCTTATTTTTTGGCAGGCGAAGAAGTTCGTTAAAAGTTTAGAATCACCTTGATGTCAAAGAGGAATGAATCATCAAGCAGAGGATTACTAATTTACATTAAACATGGATTGGTTCAGCAATCATTAGAAGATGGAATCAACAAAGATATTTTTCAATATTCCCCTTTTTTTTCGTTTTTTCATCAATAATTCCCATTGGGGAACCCATAGAAACTATGAGAAACCAAGCTTAGAAGTGTTTAGTTTTCTCCTTTAAAGGGGACCCTTACTCTTACTATTCTTAGACTGCAAAATGTTTTTCCTTCCTTTTGGTTGCCATGGGATTCTATTACTGATTTATGGAATTGACTCCAATCATAAAGAATGAAGATTGAACTTGAGCTGTGTATGCTTCTGGTTGAGGTTTTTTTTTTTTTTTTTTGTTGGGTGGCTTTAGACACTTGATATTTGGCCCGACTAATTCAGATTCATGCTTGGTAGTCCGTAAGCACTCTTTACCAAGAAGTTCTTCAGGTCAATCTATCTTCAACACCATTTTGGTGTTTTTGTTTTTAGTGAAAAGGTGGTGTGAACAAAACCGATTGTAAAAAAGGTGATACATTTGGTCCTTTCCTTATATCTAAAATTAACCAAAGAAAGATTTTTAAGTGTAACTTTATTTGGTGATCCATATATAGGTCTGAGTATCAGATTGAGAATAGATCAAAAGAACAGATGAAAAAAGAATCATATCATCATATCTATACTACCTTAAAAGCATGAACTCCCAAACATGAATGTTGAATTACTATAATACCCACAATTAAAAATACTCAATTTATTTAATTATGTTATATTAAAAGTTGATACCTTTTCACATTAATGGATAATTGATAGTGACTTTTGCGATGAGTTGTGACTTTTCCAAAGGGTTGTGACATTTCCGATGAGTTGTAACTTTTCCAAAAGATTGTGATTTTTTCAAAGGATTGTGACTTTACCAAAGGGTTGTGCCTTATCCAATGAGTTGTGACTTTTTCAAAAGGTTATGTCTTTTCCAATGAGTAGAGACTTTTTGAAGGGCTGTGACTTATCTAATAAGGTAGAATTAGAATATATTCATACTACTATTTGTTAGCTATAAATGGAGGGGTTTCCTCTCACTTTTAAACTACAATTTTTCAAGTTTTATACTCTTCTTCATAAAAATCTCAGTTGTTATTTGCAATAGTTGATGAAGTTCGAAACCCTACGAAATTCGAGGTACCACATAAGAAAGAGTTGGTGAACAAATTGTAGCAAATCATTCATCAATTCACACTCATATTTTCCTCTGACGATTTTTATCACATACATACATCAATATTATTTATATCATTTTAGAACATTAACACTTTTAAACTAACCTACATGTTTTATTCATTAAAAAAAGACTAATTTCTTACGAATAGTCACAACAATTTCTACCTTCATGTTTCTTCGGTCATAAATCACAACCATTCACTCCTTATAAATTCTTGGGGATCTCATTTTTTCTGACAATTTGAGATTGTTTAAAATTTTCATAAATGATTCATCCTCAATCAATTGATATGTTTTGCCGAAGTTCTTAGCGTTGGAATTTTAGGTATTGACCTTTTCTATTAAAGAAGAAAAGAAGAGAACAAAGAAATATGCAATTATCTATGAACTTTTCTTCACGCATAAATCTTCTTTATATAGTGCGCGGGAATTTTTATTTATTCTTCTTAATTGTTTTCTTGAATAATTTCTTTTTTATTTTCATTCGAGAGAAAATTTATATTCACACATTCTTGATTATTTTTATAATAAAATAAATAGATAAAGAAGTGGGAGAGAAAATAATTATAAACAAATACAAAAACGACACATGATTGGTTAAGATATTTCTTCTTTGTATTTCATTTCTTATTCTTTTAACATCAAATGAAGGAGTTTCTTCCTAATTTTGCTAAAACATCGGGCATCAACGTAGTCCATTGAATTAGTAGTTTTGATTTTAAGTCTATTGTTTCAAAAATAGATTTTCACTTTTACTTATAATATGATAATATAACCATGATAATAATTATATTTAAATAGATATGTAAGTAAAAATGAACGGATAAAGTAAAGTGTTGGTGGCAAGATATTTCAATCAAATGAAACACTAGGGTGAATATATCATGAACATATATTTCCGCCTTCCTTCTTCATTGTCTATGAATTGATCCACATTATTTTACTTTTTATATTTATGTTGAGTATGAATTTCCTGTTATTTTGTGTTCATTTTGATCTAAGAAAATGTTATGTCACAAGATACACTCTTTGCTAGCTATATAAAAATGATAAGAAAATAGTGATTGATCATAAAACGATCTTAAATCAAATTAAAGATTCTATAAATAATACTTTAAATTTTATTCATCTTTTAATTTTTAATTGAAAAAGCCTAATGTTTTATATCACGATAGAACATCTATAAGATACTAGATACTCTCATAAGACAACATCTATATGATATGTATGCGGCAAAATAAAAGATAATATTCTTTAAAACTAATTATTGACGTAATATATTTTTCTCTATAACATTCGACTTATAAAAGTATTGACATTCACTATATAAGTACATTTTTTTGCTTTTATAAAATTAAAGGAAAAGTTTTTGTTGACCATTTTTTTTATCTTGATATTATTTTTCTATTTTGTTGGTTAAGTCTGTTTACCAAATTGAGTAAAGTAAAGAACAATACTTCTTAAGAATTACCACTTTCTCCCCATATTTAAATTTTTTGAATGCATTTTGAAATGTTTCAATGATATCTGGTCATTTTTGTCTCAAAAAACAATTAACTCTATGAAAAACTATATTACTCATTTAAAATCACTTGTCTAATATTCTTTTAGTTAGAATTATTTACTAAAAAACTTTAATTTAGTAATATTAATTCTATTTTACAACATGGTATACTATATGATATGATACACACGTGCAACGCACGTGCTGTGAAACTAGTATTATTAAAAGTGGGAAGAATCTAAGTCAAAAGTTGAATGACCATTTCACCATTCAACTAAATAAAAAATAAAAACATTAATTAATTATTAAATAATAATCCTATCATATTAATAAGTTATTATACTAATGCTACTCATCATATACAGTTAGCCGTCACTTCAAATTCCAAGGAGTTATGACCTTTTCAGAAATCAAACATCTGAAATAGATCTCCTCAGTAATTAGGATTCATATATTGATCCACGCGCACCTTCTACTTGTGGAGATGGTTCACTTCAAGAACTATGTCCATGCTCTCGGGCCTGGTATATTTTTTCTCCCATTTTCTTTTCTATTTTGTTTGATTAAATCTTGAGTAATAGTAGATGATAACAAATCGTTGTTATGGTATCTGTTTTCCTATGATTTCTCAAGTTCTTTTTCATTTTTGGGACTATATCATGTTAACTTATTTTTACTTTTCTCTCATGATACTATGACTTGCTTCAATTTAAATGGTGTCAAAAAGTGAGCTTTGAAGTACTTTTAAATGGCATCAAGAATTGATCTTCAGGTTTCCAAAGATTTGCCGTAAGGACCTCGAGGAGAATAAAAGATTTATCTAAAATGGTTGAGCAAACGAAGAAGGAATTGCTAACCATATGAAGGATGCGTCCAAATAATTTGTCTTTCAAGAACCAGTTATTTGGAAACAAAGGTGTAAGGCTAGGTACATAGTTCTCTCTTTTTTCTTTTTCCCCTAAACAAATATTTTGAAAAAAATGGAGTCCTTTTTCCTGTGTGACTATGATGCCTAGAGGATAATTGCACTTTTCTAATGAGGCTTTGTTGCATATGGTGGTGTAGAAGTGATCTCAGTAGTGATGCCATAAAAACATTGATGGTTACGTTGCCATTGTATGTATGAACTCGATGATTTCTTGTAGCAAATTGAATTTTTCAATCAAGAACCTAACTTTTTTCTAGAGTTGTTATGCGCCATGATGTTAATATGAACTATTAAAATGAATTCCTTTAAAATTATTTAGATCAGTCTATTTAACTTTGCTACAGTGTTCTTTTTCCTACTTAACTCCGTTTTCTCAAGTAAATTTAGTATTTTCGTTAGTGTCCTTGATAATCAATAATTTCACTATGAATTGACGAAAGAAAAAAACCTTTCTCATAAACATTTTCGTCTCAAGACTTTCTTTCTTCACCATCAAACACAATGTCTTAGACCAGTGGCGGAGGGAGGATTTTCATCAAGGGGGTTCCAAAAAAAAAATTAATCACATAAATAATATCTACAAATAAATTAAACGGGTCGAATCGGATATAAACGGGTCGGATTAAATTGTCGAATCAAGAAGAAAAGAATTTTTTAATATTTGACTTTATAATTAGGGATTAAACTAATAAATCCTAAATTCCCAATCAGTGTTTTAATTTTTTGGAACTAAACATCATTTTCTGATTGCATTATTATATTTTTAAATAAATTAAAACGCCTAAAATATAAGCTGATAAAAGATATGCCTCTGCCTGGATTCGAACACGCGACCTCGCGTGCAGTAGAGTGAATTCATGAACCCCCAACGCCACTGAGATACGCCTTTGGTGTATGTTCAGGGGTTTCAGTACTATATATATACACGTATATTAAAAATTTAATCTTATATATATAGTGTAATTTTTCGACGAAGGGGGTTCGGATGAACCCCCTTCATCCTACTTAAATCCGCCCATGTCTTAGACCCTTGGTTATTCTTTCAATAAGTATATTCAACAGTACACAATATGAGTTCCTATGCCTCTATATATAGTATTGATAGAGGCATATAAAGGCTGTTATAACATAGCATTAACATGGGAGATTATGGGAAAAGTTAAAGGTGTGAGAGTTTAGTCATCGAGAATATTCGGGGACATCCATATTAATATTTCATAACCAAAAATCAATTGTTATTGCTTTTTTTTTTTTTATTTCCTATTATTCAGATTTTTTGATGTCCAAACTATAGAGACATCAAGTCCGTATTGCTATTCTTGAATCTAGAAAATGGTGCTCTTGGTGAAATTGTCCAAGAAAATATACAGTGGTTGAATGGTGTTTATTAGTCGATGTTCTGTTTTCCTCTCCAAATCAAAGAAAAATAGTGTGCTTTCTTGAATTAAACACACTTTCTCTTATTTATACACATACAATGAGATTAGATGTTGACTTAATTTTTTCCTTTTTCTATTATCATTTTTCTTGACAGTCTTAAGTTTTTTATTTCTTGTGTAACTAGAGAATCTAGAATTTCGATAATAGTAATGAATCCTTTGTTTACAAATTCTAGAAATTGGGACATAATATCTACTCCCTTAACAAGTATGTATACAGACTAAAATAAATTATGCACATGTGGATAAATATATAATTTTAAATTTACAAGTAAGGATTTTATATTGGCTACAAATTTTATATAGTAATAGGGGACAAACGTGCAACACACATTCCCATGACTAGTATATAGATATAAGGTAATAAAATTTAGCACAAAGATGCAATAGATCTAAATTGAAAAAAGAACACATCTTATAGTTTTTCAAGAGTCCCCTGTATAATGCACACTGAGGAATGTGAAGTCTGCAACTCATATTACTACATGGCCAAATCACACACGCCAACAAAGAGGAACTCAGCTATAACAGATCATTCAAAACAAGTTTTAACGTTTTCCATAAATTATAGGCTACATGTTATCCGTTTTTTGATGGAAATGAAGCACAAATGCTGATGGAGAAACATTAGTAGTAAACTAGATGTTCTTCCAACTCTTCGATTTTTCACTTCATGTACTTGAATTTATAGGAAAAGTACCAACTATAACCTGCAAGGACAACAAATTACTCATCATTCATAACTTCATGATAATAATGATTACATAAAACTCAGCAAAAGAATTATTCAAATTACTCGGATGAACCTTTTAGTCTACATTAACCTAGAAAACATTAGAACCAAAATAAAATACACAAGATAATGGTTATTCTATTTAAACATGCAGGATATAAATGATGCCTCCATAAATGCTTCACTTACTAGTTAAGTACTTATTCAGGTGAGATAGAATCTAATACATCAATTATAGTTAGCACCAAAAGATTTTCTTAGAAAACAAAAAAAATGGTAATTTTGGAATTAAAGAAGTAAACAGTAAGAACCTGGACTGGCTCTGCTGCAATCAAACGACCATTAACTTCATTTGTAATAACAAGACAAGATGAACCAACACAGGATATTGTCCATGATTCATGTTGCTGCACATGACCATCTTCAAATATAATAAATCTTCCCAAAAGATAATTTATTTTATATGAACCCTGCAGAACGACATGTATAATCATAAGATAAGTATCTTAAGATTCACGATACGTAAATTCTAGAATCTCATGTTTATAACCAACGACAAAACTCGATAAGCAGAATAACATAGGAGTGTCTTCATCAAAAAGTTCAGAGAAGTATAGAAGGGCACTTAAAATTTTCAGATAGTTTGCTTTCAGAAACTTCATAAACACAGTCAAGATCATTTTCATGTGTTTGGCCTTGAAGAGACAGGTCTGCACAGGAGAAAGCGTGTTTAAACCTTTAGATGAGGTGGTTCACACAATTCAACACTTCCAAAATGAAAGTCTCTCCCACAAATTAGGGAGGAAACTACAATCCATGCTTAAGAAGTTTCCAACAGCAGATCACCCTTTACTCCTTAAAGTTGATACATACAAAAAAACAACTTACATATTATCACATTTGTAAAAGTGATAAATGCGACTTTTATGGAACTGAATACTTCTGCACATCCTTTAAGAAATAATAAATAAAATACATATTTTCCATGATGTATAGTCTTAATGGACTTGAGGAGTGATTTGGAATGAGTAGTTAATGGTACGTGTAAAATATGAAGAAAAAAATTGTCGTACAAATTTAGTTTTAGTATAGTGAACGGACGGAGTACTATACATATGATTTATCTATTTTGAGAATCATTTTTATGAGTTACCACAATATTTTAGTATATCTATATTATGGAACTGAATACTTAACACTTCAGTAGCTATGTCATCCTAACTAGTTTGCAGCATATTAGATTTATTTATTAGCTTATCCAAGCATAACATCAGAAATCTCCTTCGCTATATCTAGATAGCACATTATGTCCATTACCTATTAAACACGAGAAGTGGAGATAACTATGTGCAACATCGTTGTTGTTCATTGTAATGATTGTGCTGGACTAAACTCGTGAGATGCAACCAGAAACAATGTGAATAAGATAATCAGGTACCTCATTCGAATTCGGGTGCAAAACTGAACCAGTAGCTGACAAGATCGAGCCCATCCGTCTGTGACCATAAGAATTTTCAGAATTGTTGGTACTGTTCTGAAAATAAGTCAGAACTTCTTCTCTAATATCCTGAAAGGTAAATGGAGTTCTTTGAGTGCACTTTTATCACCCAATACGTACAACTTGCCTACTTTTGTAAAAAAAGAAAAAACTCATTACTTAGTTAAAGGAAAATGGAAAGCATGCAAGAAGTACAATTCCAACTACTATCAAACAAATCTCAGGTGGTAGGCAACTAATGAACATGACAGCCATTGGGAAGATCAACAGAGGTCCGCAGTCTAAGAACAAAATACAAGAAGAACCTGCTAGTTTTCACTGATTATTACTATCAATAGAAAAATTATAAAACAAGACATAATACATCAAACCACGTTAGTCTTTTACTAGCATTCAACGGGATGACTAGCTTTAGTATGTCTAACAAATGGAGGGAGGAGAAAAACATCACGATGACTGCAACTGTGCCACATACATTCCTAATTTTTTATAGTTCATGTTCTTGTCAATATAAAACATAATGATTTCTGATTTTCATTTCAAACCACATCAGATAGATACATATATTAGGTAACCCTAAGCTAGTATACCAAAAGAGGCTTTACAAACTGCCTAAAAGATGCAACAATAAATAATGTCAAGCCAGAAATGTGATCTTCAAAAACCTTCTCTTTATTTTTGATAAGTTAATGTAATGTTCAAACACCAAAGGATTCCTTTTGTTAACGAATGAGAACTTAATCAATACTTCCGTTAACATTATTAAATTGAGTATTGCAAATTACTTACATAAATAACATGTAGTGTGCCACTATTGACAGTGGAGAATAAGAAGTTAGAATTGCAATAATAATATGTCGCAGACATAGATGATGTAGGGTTTTGGCAAGATTTACTAATTTTAGGTAGTTTAGTAATTGTTGTAAATTTTATAGTTGTTTACTTCTTATCTTCCTTCCAGCGAGCCTCTGACATTAATACTCAACACCAAAGCAGAGAATGATTTTTCAACAAATAGGAAAATACTAACTCTGGAAAAATTAATTATATAGCAAGTTCTCTTTATTTGATAAGTAATCAAAGATTTTATAAATGCTTGCACTAAATCAGTTTGATAAAACATAACTACAAATTGTGCAGATCTATGATTGTATCTAAAATTGCATCAACACCATGCACAATAACCAAGTTGCATCAACAAAAGAAGCAAAATAGACATCTTTATTTTAGGCTATGTAAATTCTTCTATGGCTTTCAAAAATTCTATCAGTTCTTTCAAGACAAACAGAACACTAAATGGCTTGAGGGATGGTATTCTAAGTCTTCTGTTATTTCTCGCACATCCTTTCTTTGTTCCAACATAGCAATAGCTCCCTAGTGGATTTTGGCATGGACCAGGACATGCGTAAGATTGACAAAAACATGCGCCACATCTGAGTAGTAACTCAACAATGCAAAAAGAGGTGGTCAACATCTTTAGCAAGTTCCCTTCTGAGATAAGAAGCTCCAAAAAGCAGTATAGGTCTTACTATGTCCACATAATATGAGAATTCCTAATGTTGAGTATGGGTTTGTACTAAATTTCTACAGAAAATGTTGACAAGTGACAACTCTGTCATGACCATAGGAGAAATAGTTAGACTTGCTACTGTGAAGGTATACAATAGGTAAGCAGTGAAGATATCAGCAGTGAAATTGTGTTTCTGAGAGCAATCAAGGGTACTGGAATGACGACCATAGGAGACGGGAGTTTTAATCCCAACATAGGCAAAAAAGCTAAGTGCCAATGTTTACATCTACCTGAGCCCTGGGAAAAGTTATGGGGTACCTATATTGGCAGGAGGATGCAAGTACTTGGTGGAAACAGTTATGGAACACGTATGTTAGCCCAGATACCAATGTTACATTTTAAAGAAATTGCTCTCAAGGACTGCAATGTACTTCAACCTGCTTGAAAATGTTGTCAGCAACATGAGGAGTTCTATGAAAAATATACATGTAGTTTAAGCCCAAGCTTCTAGAATAGACACCAGACCAAGAGTCTTTCCGTCAAAAAGTTTGATCCCCAGTGATATGGAATTCTAGAAAGCTTCCAAAATGTTTACAGTGCAATGAAAAGTGTTGTTTTTGTGTTTTGGCCAAGAATTGAAGGTTTTAAGAACAGAATAAGAACTTCCTGGAAGGTTTGGCTTAAGTTTTGGTGGTGACAAGAAACCATCTGCAGCAAAGAATGTTTTGAACAAATGAAAATCAAAAGGCATCTCCATAGAAGATGATGAGCATAAAACTTATGGCCTTAGTCTTCATCCATTATCCACTAACAATTGTCATAATTCAGCTCCTTGTTCCAATTTACCACCCAAAAATACGAAGTCTCCATTCACAAAGCAAACTAAATCAAGGAGACAGAAGCAGACTTGCGGAAATACACCACATGAAAAAAGGACAATCAGAACTCAGAAGATTATGGAGGCACCAGAAAAAATCAACAAAAGCTTTACTAGATAAATACAAATGTTAGAGAAGAAGACAGCACACATAACAAGAATGATTTTCATGTCCAAAAGAACATGAAAGCTGGAGAAGTACAAAAATGAGACCTGTCCTTGATCAATAATCAGGAAATCCCGATGTGTTTCTTCAGGCTTCTTTTCTGCAAGAACAACTGTAATAAGAATGTTTAGTTTCAGAAAAAAGATCAAACTCAACAGATATATAACTACATAAAAATTGGAGAGGCGGTACCATTGACAGGCATCATCTTTTTAGGAGGTGGTGCCCTGAGGCCAAGAACCCATATAAAATCATTAGCAGAAGAATCATTTCCTCTCTTTTTTTTCATTTTTGTTGCTTTCTTTCAACAAGAGTTCTTCTGTTTTCAGGTGATACTAGAAGAACTGTAGTCTTTAGAGGGGTTTTACTAATGCAGCTTATTATTGATTTTCCTAATTAAGCATATAATTCAAATAATCCCCGAATTGGAAAAACTTTGACTACTTTTTATAGACATAATCCTACTCATAGGTATTTACTAAGTGCAATCCAAACTTTAGGATTCAACGAATCATGTTTGATCAAAATGTTAGTACTCAAATCCAAAGGTCGACTCTCCTCACCCTCTATCCCCAACCCGCTACCAAGACAAAAGAAAACAAATAAGAAGCATCTAATCAAGGATATAGCGACATCTTTTTAAGGTTTATGTCAAACATTAAGAGCACCTCAAAAGGCAGGCACTGTTTGGCAAGTGTCAACAATTTTAATACATAAGACATTAGATGACAATGAGAACACATTTCAATTTTTTTGAACAAGTTAAAACAATGAAGTTAACACGGGATGCAAAAATAACCGAAATTCAAAAGTAAAACTAAAAACTATGTAAATAAGTAAATAAATAACCATAACAGCTCAAACATAAGTGGGAACCAGTTAATACCTTTCAATATTTTCCCCTAATTGTAGAACTCACCTTGATTTTCATACGCATCTCAACAACAACTGAACAGTACCCAAAATATCCTTGTTTCATTCTGCCAAAAATAAAGGGAGAAAGCTTATCTGAAGAAGTACTAATTTCAGTTCAAATTATTGTTTTTTTTTTTTAAAAAAAAAAAAAGTTCCGGATGAAGAATCCTGATTTTTTTATTTCCAATCTTCTTATAATCTAAAGCAAAAACTAAAAGCTGAAACAAGTTTTATAAAATCTGAAGATTTTGAAGACACATGACTCATGTGAAACAAATCTCAGGAAAAAAAATCAAAATCAACAAATATACAACCAAATAAAAATTGAACAGTCAGTACCATTGACACCGGATTTCATCTTTCTAGGCTGTTGATGTGTTACATAACTTATGTTCTTTCTTATTTTTGTTGTGTGTTTTTTCAACAAGAGACTATGTCTCTTAACCTCTTGTCTTGGGTTGAGAGAGCCGTGTTGAATGATTACTAATGTTTAGTCTCTAGAGGGGTTTTTGAGGGCAATCCAATTACTAGATTACATAGCGGAAAAGTAATAAATGCAGCCAATTTGTATTCCAACTACGATTAGCTTCCTAACTCTTAAGTGTCCACATTAGCTAAGTATAGAGATGGGAGATTTGATCTATCATCAACTTATAAACTAACTTTTAGGGTTGAGTTAGGCCTAAAATCCATTCTTTACATGGTATCGGAGCTAGACCTATCCCAATTCATGGTTAACCCATGTTGAGTCCCCATATTAAATTGTTCATACACCAAATGTCCAGTCCTGAGCAAGTGGGTGGTGTTGAGTGTCCCACATCAACTAGGGTGGGAGATTTGGTCTCCTTATATAGACCTGGACAATCATCACCTTATAATATAGCTTTTGGGGTTGAGTTAGGCTCAAGATCCATTTATTTACACTAACTAACTAAACACAAACTTCAAATAAGGTCCAAATTGAAAAATCCTTGACTATTTCTTTTTACATACATAATCCTACTTATAGGCATTAATAAATCACAATCCAATCTTTAATGTTCAATGGATCATGTTTGATCAACATGGTGGTACCCAAACTTTAAGGTCGACCCCCGTCACGCTCATCCCCAACCCACTACCAAGACAAAAGAAAACAAGAAATACGTATCTAATCAAGGACTATAGTGACATCTTAATAAGGTTTATGCCTACATTGTTGAAACATCAAGAGCACATTTAAAATCAAACACTCTTCAAGTGCCAACAATTTTAATACACAAAACATTAAGGGACAATGAGAGTACAACTGAATTCCCAGATACAGACTATTTTAAACAAGTTAAAATAATGGAGTTATCAGGTGATGCATGAGATTACCAAAATAAAGAAGTAGAACTAATGTAATTAAGTTTATAAATTTTGTTCAACAACAACATATTTAATGTAATCCCACAAATTTGAGTACGGGAAGGGTTACGTGTACATAGATCTTACCTCTATCTTGAAGATAGAGACGTTGTTTTCGTTAGACCTAGCTCAAGGAAGTCAATAAATTTAGTACATCAAAATATATAACTAAATAAATAACCATAATAGTCCAAACATAAGTGGAAACCAATTACTCTCTCCGTTTCAAAAAGAGTGGTCTAGTTTGACTTGGCATGAAGTTCAAAAAAATAAAGAAGACTTTTGAATCTTGTGATCCTACATTAAAGTTATGTCAAATGTATAAAATTATCCTTTAATCTTGTGGTCTTAAACATGTCCCACGTAAAGCTGAAAGTAAAATGTTACCGAAAAAAAGAAATAGGTCATTCTTTTTTAAACAAACTAATAAAGAAAAGAGGTCATTCTTTTTTAAACGGGGGAGTAATACCTTTCAAAGTTCTGCTTCACCCTTAACATAGGTCTCGAGAGCGGGATATGGAGAAAATTTTGTTGAGAGCATTCCGAATGAACTCTTGCCGTGTACCATCCAGATTTAATCACAGCTCCAATGTGAACTTCAGACACTAGGTGAAAACCCAAAAGAAAATACCTTTCAATGTTTTCCGACTGATTTCCGTCCATAAAACAATACCAAGGAAGAATGGTGGTTTTCTAATTTCCATCATGTAAGACCCAAACATGGCAAATTGAGCCAAACCTGAGGAAGAGGATGTGATTGCTTACTTGGTTTTTTCTTTTTTTGGTTCCGCTCAGTGTCCGATATCCACATTAAAGCCCGATTAAATTCAGATTCGTGCTGGATTCAAAGGGCTAGCCATGAACCCATTAGTATCGGAAATTTTCCCGAGTTAGGGTTTCGATCTCCAAATTTTTCTCAACTTTCTTCAAACCTCTCTTGCTAAATTTCTCACCAAAACCCTTCTTGTCATTTTTTTTATTGTATTAATAGATGTACATTTAGCACAAAAATATAATATTTACTTGAAGGTCAAAATAATTATTCAATTTTGAAGATTATTATATGTGAATACTTGCATAGCTCCTATTCCCAAAGCTTTTTATTAGGCTTGGAAGTAATAAAAGTTTTTTTTTTAACTCAAAATGTTTAACAAACCTTAGTAAATTAACTAGATATATGAGTTTGTTAAAATGAAAAATACACACTTCTTTTTATACAACCATAAGATGATTCTTAATAAAAAAAATAATGCTACAAAGTGAACCCATACCACACCTGGTCTAATTTATTTCACATATTAGGGATGAAGGTTATTAGCTAGGAGTGCATTGTCTTGTTGTTAGTTCATACTAGTAGTTGTAGTATTGCTATTATAGTTTCTTGTTCTTCTATTTCTGTTTCTTGTACTTTGACTATAATATTATTTTTGTGTAATAATGTTCTATTACTATTTGTTGTTTTTGTTACTATCTACTGTTTTTTGTACTTCCATTACTTCTTTTTCTGGATTGCTTTGAACTACTTTTTCTTGAGCCGAGAGTCTATCAGAAAAAAGTGGATATATTCTTCTATCTAGGACTCATCCAGAGTTTTTCCTTACACAAATGACCTCATACACAAATATCTAAGCAATAACACATTAAATACTCTATCATCTATGGGTTTAAGGATAACATTGTTGAAAGCCAATGCAAGCATTTCTCCGTAAGCTTATCAAACCATTTCTTCACTGGCTCGTAAAACCATAGAAGTGCAATTGTGTTTACTGCCCCTACTATGTATCCTGAAGCCAAAAAAATGAACTTCCAATCATCATCTGAGTCTGGTAGAGGCTGAGTTGGCGGCAGCTCAGAGTCATTGTTTCTGCGATCTTCAAGAGGTAATCCACATAGGCCTTTGTTTCCTTCAAAGGAATCTGCAGAGAATGTTTGAAACTGATTACTCGATGGGATTTTTCCAAGCAATATGATAGGAATGTAAGATATGCAAGTTCTGCAGGGATTTCTCCAGATAGCTTGTTCCAGGACAGGTCTAGTGATTCAAGCATTTTTAGCTTCCCAATTGATTTTGGAATTTGACCCTCAAGAGCATTGTGTGACAGGTTGAGAACATAGAGGGCGCTAAGATTTCCGACAATATCTGGGATCACTCCATGAAATTTGTTTGAAGAGAAATCAATAGATGTGTAGGCTCTAAAGATTTTCACAAGCTTCATTTCCATTCCTTTGATGGTTAGTGTCACTGTTTCCTGACAGTATCCAAAATGAATGCGATTAATTCCTGAATCAATGTAATCATCTCCAACCATCATTCCTTTCCAATTCCATAAGCATTCTGCAATCAATTCACCAGTAAAATTGTTGGAGGCTATATCTATGATCTGGAGATTTTGCCAGCTATGACACTGAAAATTTCCATAAAATCCGTTGGAGCGCAATACTAGGACTCTAAGCCTGGATGAATTCTTCAACATGAAAGGGGAACTATCAAAAAGTTTGTTATTTCCGACATTTAGGACCTCCAAGAAGTCACAGTTCACCAGTGACCTTGGGAGCTTCCCCTGTAAGGTATTCTCATTGAGGTGTAAAGATCTTAGAGCACAGCCGATTGGAAATGAATCTGGTATAACACCTTTCAGTCTATTGTTCCCTAGATCTAGCACCCCAAGAGTTGCACTATTTTCCAGTAGACACATTGGTATTGTTCCACTCAATGCATTTTGAGAGAAAGTAAGAACTTGAGGGAAGAGGGCATTGCATATGGATTCAGGAATTCTTCCAGTGAGGCTATTATTTCCAACTGAGAAAACGCGTGCATTAACAAGAGAATCACCAATATCTAGTGGGATGGAATTGCTGAAACTATTGCTCGAGTAGTCCACATAGAAGGAAGAAGAAGGAGGCATTGGAAGGTCACCCTTTAGCCTGTTGGAGTGCAAGTCCAACATCGTAAGATTGTCGGGAATATTATAAGGCTGCTTCATGTACTCCAGCAGATTGCAGGAAAGATTCAGTTGAGAGGGAAATCCATAACCAATTTCCCAAATCCAATTTGGTATTGGCCCATGAATTAAAGGTCTAAGATCCTAATTTCTGAAAGGAGTTTAAGACGAGGAAACACTTGCAACCGACAAGAAGCTAGTTTCAATATTCTCAAATGTGGAAAAGTGAATGTTGTTGAATTGCTGCTACTTGTATCAATTGTCAAGTTATTGTATGAAAGATCTAAGTTAGTAAGGTAACTGAGCATCCCAATCATCTCAAATGGTAATGTCTCACTAAACAAGTTGGAAGAAAGTGAGAGGACCTTAAGCCTCTCAATTCCAAATATGGACTTGGGAATTGATCCATTCAGATGGTTATTGCTCACATCAAGTATTTTCAGTAGAGAGAAGGATGCATTGCGAAATTCGTTGAGTTGGCCAACAAATTCATTGCTGCAAAGAAAAAGCTTCTGCAACGAGGGTAGCTCAAAGATATATGCAGGAAGGATCCCGTTGAGTAAGTTGTTGCCTAAATTCATGTACACAAGCTCTGAGAGTCCTTCAAAATGAGCTGGAGAGAGGAGACCAGTTAGACTATTATACGACACGTCTAAGTAGGTGAGTTTCTTGGACCGTTGGAAATATGGGATAGAACCAGTGAAGTTGTTCAAGGAGAAACCTAAGTAAACAAGATTTGTAAAGTTTTCCATTGTGGATGGTATTGGTCCACTGATATTGCAATTGGAGAGCTCTAACTTGGACAAGTTCTGAAGGTTGGAAATGGACTCTGGTAATAAACCAGAAAATTTGGTGTTGCTTAGTGATATCGTCCTCAAAGATCCGTTTTTAGGAAAGTTTGGGATTCTGACACTAAGCATCTTATTGTTTGACAAATCCAACATCTCTAGAGATTGTACTCGAAAGATTGTTTCAGGAAATGCTCCATGTAGATTACAAGAGCTGAGGGACAAGCTAGTCAAGTTGGAGAATTTGGCAAAATATTGAGGAACTGTGGTAGATTGTTCTGGTCTAGATAGATGACTGAAAGAAATTGAAGGTTGGAAAGTGAATCATCAATAGGGCCTGAAACTCGACAACCACGCAAGCTCAAGACCATCAAGTTAGGCAAATATGACGATAAAGACTGACACCACTCGTTCCTCTGAGCTGAAAGGTCAACACCATCAAGGTAAAGCTCTCTAAGTTCTGTTAAGTTCTCAATAAAATCAAGACTCTCAAATTTTAAGTGGATGGAGAAGAGTTGAGAGATCAAGAGTAACTAGCCTGGTTAATCTTGATAACGTCATAGGAATTTGCCCGAAAAAACCAGCATTTGATAAATTCAGGTACTTCAAGTTGACTAAATTGTATATACCAACTGGTATACCAACGTCAAACCTGTTGTAAGCCAAATTTAGCTTCTCAAGATACTCAAAACTTAAAAGAGCACTTGAATTCTCAACTCCACTAGAAATCAACTCATTATCTAGTTCCAAGGCAATCACATGACCATAGAGATCACATTTCACCCCATCCCAATTACAACATTCACTTGTGTTGTCGTTCCAACGCGCCAACTTGGTTGACAAACTAGAATCATATTGGAGGCTGTCTTTCAATTGCAGCAACAATGACTTTTGATCATCAAGACATTTAGAGGAAACAAAGAAAATATCATTTCCTGATAAGATTTGAAACAAAAGAATCAAGAAAAGACGGAGAAAGTGTAGAGTTCTCATTTTCATTTATGCAGCTTTTGTTAAGGTGATGACTCAGTAAGTGTGAACTTAGAAAGAACTTATAAAAGGAAAAGAGGCAGAGAAAATATCAAAAGAAACTATTTACCAATGTTTAATGTTAGTCTTTTTTGGTTCATTGAGTGGAAGACTTTGAAGTTTTTCACCAAATATATTTATTCAATGTGGAAAAAGTTTATCAAGGCCATAATTTCTTGCATTTTAGTTGAGTCTATGCTGGGACTTTTATGTATTTTTATTGTTTTAGTTTGACTCATATGCACCACTAGGGGTGTTCATAGTTTTGGTAAAAACCAATTCAAATTAGTGGATCTACTCGGCACGAATTCAAGTTAATAGGATCAACATGAGCTTCGAATTCTACATGATTAAATCAAAATAAATTGAAAAAGGCCTAATTAACTCTCTATTCGACTATCAAGGGTGGAACCAATATGTTGATTACAAGTTCGGTTGAACTTAGCTACTTTGACTCAAATTCTAAATATGTAGTAAGAAATTCATTGAATATGTACAAACTAAATCAGTTTAGAACTCAGTAACTTAAAAGAATTAGAATCCCAAACCCATAAATTTTAAATTCTGACTTCTACGAGGTTACCATCAATGGGGTGTAGGAGAATGATGATATATTTTGTTTGGAATGTATAAATTACTGAAGAGATTGATTAGATTTCTCCTCTCACCACTGAAGGAATACTATGTTCTTCTTAATTCAGCACCAATTAGTTTTCATTATTTTTTTGTTGACTAAAGTACGAGTTTAAAATTCTAAAAACTATTTTTGAATTTTGTGATCTTAAATTAAAAATATACACAATATACTAAAATATATTTGATTTTAAATAGTTCATGTAGAATGTTAAAAGTTACACATTTATTTGAAATTTGTTAAAAGTTTTCCATGGAAAATCGATTATTAATTCATTACAAACATTATCTTAGCTATATGACCATCTTCAAAGGAGATTGATCAGTAAAAATATAAGAGAATTCTATTGTATTATTCACATACAACAACACAATAGCGTCCACAATGCTCGCAAATTCTACCGAAAGAACAAAGGCAAATGATAAACTAGAAATTACTAGTAGAACAAACTTATATTCACAAGGGAATAGATAACATAGAGCTTGAAGTTTTAAACTACTACTGGAGTAAAACCTACCTTAGACAACTTAACAGTAACCAGGAAAAAATAAGTGAACTAAAACAACTAATATACAAGACAACCTTATCGCTAACGAAGAAAAAACATAAGGCCCGAGTCATGGACCACTAAGTTTACAGTGTGCCAACTGGATCCATACAACAAACCCAGTATAGTACACAAAACACGCCTAGTGACTAAGGCTGCTCGTAAATATCCTTCTATTGATCTACATGTCATGAACACAGCTAAGCACCAATTCATTCATCTGCGTCGTACATGAGCTTTGCTATCACTCTGTATCCTATCCGCATACATTGGCAGTCGAATGATCTCATAAATCTCATTCAACAACACTTCTTCAGTGATGTTGTCAGTAATACTTCTCATCACCTGAATTTTTGTACATGAACCATAATTAGAGTCTAATAGGGACCATAATCTATCTAAAAGATGAGAAAATATGGAAAAGATTCTAATAAACCACAAGTCTACATATCAACAAAGCAACAGCATTAGTTTAGTATGTGTCATTATAGAGACACCTTTCTGTACGTGTTGTAATCATTCGGAGTTCCTTTGTCGACTCTGGTCCTCATCCATATCCATTTTTGGTTATCAGTGTCAAAAGAGCACTCTATTATTTTACCGGAGTAAGCTGATGGATCAGAACCATCTGAAACATGAAAGGACCCAACATTTCAGGATATGCACCAAAGGCCAAATACCAAGAGAAGCGGGGGAAAAAACAAAAAGAACACAAAAGTTCACGGGACACAAATAAAGCACAAGAGATCTGCTTAGATATGCAACACTATAGGACAACAGATTAGACATTTGGCTGTATGTCACCTAACCACATAGAGCATATGACAATTCTTTTTCTCCCCCCACTCTATCTCCGACCTGAAAGCCTCTAATCCATCTGTTTTGGGTTGCAATCCTCATCATACTATCAAAGCCTTCCATTGCCAAAATGAATAAGAAAGGGGAGAGAGAATCACCCTGTCTCAGCCCCTCCTTCTGATTCAAAAAAGCCCATGGATTCCCCATTCACAAGGACAGAAAACTTGACTATTTTTATACATACCTCAATCCACTTCATCCATTTGCTACCAAATCCCATTTGTCTGAGAGTATTCAGAAGGAAAGACCAATTCACATCGTGACAAACCAAATAATCAAAACTTACACGTCTGACCTTTTTTTAACCTTAGCAACTGATCAAATTTCAAGTTGTGGAAAATCAAAATTCAATTTACCAAGCGTTAACAGAGGAAAAAATAAAAGCAAGAATATGTACTTTTTTTTTTCTTTTTTGGCAAAGAAGAATATGCATCTTGAACTTACAAGAGAGTATCAGTTGTGCAATAGCAACACTGCCTTAAGTTTTTAGACACAGCAAGAAGTGCCTCTAAAATTTTTATCCATATTCTTATTACTCCCTCAGTAGTCAGTTCCTTTTTACTTGTCCCTGGAAAAACCTTTTTACTTGTCGCAAATCAAGAGATTTATTATTTTTCTTCAAAGACTACCCTTATCATTAAGTAACTATGTAAAGTACTACTAGTCACACTTAGATTTCCAAAGCATAATTAAAAATGTTAATTTAGTAAAATAGACCCCAAAGGTGCTAAGTCAACATGGGCCAAGTAAAAAGGAACGGAGGGACTACTACTTAGCACCTCACAAACACCGAAAAGGAATCTTGACAGTTTCAAGGAGTGTGAAATAGCATCCTTAACTTTTTAGATCATTCTCGAATGAAGTTTAACAACTCCATCAAATAATAGCACTGCATCCAATTCCCCCACAATACAATTTTATTAAGAAAAAACATCCACCCGGGTCAGTAAAGTATACAAGACAGCAATAAAACCTTAACGAGTTCACAGTTCAAGAAAATAAAATTAAGGAGTGTGGATGTAGATGATATTAGTCTCTTATGTTCCCAACTAAACCCCAATTAAGGGAAACATTCCTTCATGACACCACAAGTATATAACTAATATAAATGGGGATTTCTGACCTGGGAAAACAACTCTACTCCCCTCCATTAGTTTCTTCTTCCCTCGTTCATGTAGATAAAGCAATTCACGATCGTCGACCACCTGCCATATGATCAGAGAAAATCACACTTAATTCCAATAGGAGAGCATGAAACATGATCCACTTCACAAAGGCTATTCTTCCTTGTTGAAGGATGAGAGCATCAATCTAAAACCTTAAGCGAAGAGAAAACACACTTTTGATAACTTAAATTGTCTCAATACATCCCCTAATGTGCGGGTCTGATTCTTTTTCATGAACCAAGCATGTGGAAACTCTTTTTGATAATGGGCGACAGCGAGACTAGAACTAAGGACCACTACCTGATTTAATATTATGTTAAGTGTGTGATCATCTCGCCTAAAAGCTAAAGCGGTTCATTTTATTAACTTAACTAGCTCAACACACTTATAGCATGGAAATAAATGATATTGACAGGTAAGGTGTAGGAGCACAACAACAACAAGAAACCAAAAGTATAAGGAGGAAACAGCAACAGCTCTATTCACTAGGAGAGCAGAATACAACCTCAAACAGAAAGTCGACCGAGTTCATTTCAGGGTATTTCCACTTCAAGAGACCCTCATGCGTGCGAGGAACATAAGGATCATCCCAACCCTAACACAGAAAGAAAACAGAGGCTCAGTATCCAGAACCTAAATTCATCTGTATGATTTTGCATCTCCGTCACTGTTAGCCATAAACATGTCATTTGCAATAACATGCAAGAGGATGTGCTACTAACTCTACTTCTCTGCAACATAACAGTAAACATAGATAAAGTTCGAAACCACTTCCACAGTGAGTTTTCCAACATAGCAATCAAAACATACATGCCATATAATTTGGAAACATCTTAAGTGATGTAAGAAATTAATTCCTCAGGAGAAAGTCCAATACAACGCTAGAACAAGAAGCAATTCAGTATAGGTACTCTTTAGCACCTGAAAAATAAGACCATCAGCTTCATGTGAAAGCTTTGGGATAAATTCTTTGAGAAGTTTTGTGACAGTAGAGAGCAGAAAAAAATCCTTCCTCCTCACCTGATAAACATTGAGAGATCAGCAGCCACTTTAGGTAGAACAAATAATACTAGAAAATAACTATAAGTAATCTTATGACAATATATTCCATTTTGACGAAACATACCCTGAAAGGCTCCAACTCATATCTATAGTAAGGGTTTCTACTCTGGTATATATGTTGACGTTCATAATTCCTTGGACCAATCACTTCTTTGTCAATCATTCTCCACCGTTCATAAAAGGGTCGCTGAAATCATAGAACAGAGAATGAGCAACAACAATGTACAGATAATAATCGAAGAGAACCAAAAGACCCCCAAGCGTATAGCTAACATAAATTTTTTGAGAAGAAAAGGGAAGTGGTTTCATATCGAAGAATCCAACCTCAATTACAGACACATGGTTCAAAGCCATCATATCATAAATTAGGTATCTCCTTTCCTGCTTCTGTGTGTCAGGCAAAGTATCAATTACCATCTCTCCATCAAGTAAAGTGAAGTGGTGGGTCTTTTCGGCTAAACCCTGGGAAGATATGAGAATTTCATATGATAAATCATATGTACAGATAATTTCCAACAGTGAGACATAAAAGGGAAAAGAAAAGATCAGAACATCCTAATAGCAAACTGGATATTAGCATACTTCATTAGTGTGTCTGCAAGGAAATCTCATCTGAACCCTCCGGAAGTTGAAATGCCTATCAATTAAGAAACAACCATCCATCGTGATCAGCATCATATACCGTGTCCCATCAGCCTTCCAAGTGGCATAGTAGTAACGCTGCCTTAATAACTGCAAGTTTTCCCTGCGCATCATGACAACAATTACCTTGGATGAATCTTAATTTATGGGTTTTCACCTTCCATGCTTTGTCTGCGATCCTACCATGGTTTGTAAGGCAACTAGCCAGTTTCATAAATAATCAATTGTTTTGTCAGAGAATATATTAATATCCATGTCCGAGTCCATATGAGGTTCAAGTATGCAGATACAATAAGGTTATCATCCATGAGTTAAATTTGTACAAGATATCTTAAAAAAATACATTAACTACTCAGAACATTTGATGGACAAGTTATCGTGCAGAATAAAACAATATTAGCAGAACAAACAAAACAAAACAAACTTATTTCATGCACTGCAAGCATAATATAGCAAGAAAAATACTCATTCTGCAATGTGTAACCTTTAAAGTTCTAACCATGTTTGCTGCACAAGACAAAATAGGCACACTGCTGCACAACACAAGTTGCCCAGAGGCTTCAGGAACTAGTTTGGTTCAGTGTTGGTCACCATGTAAAGAATGTGAACTGAAAAGATAGAAGAAAATGGTCTCTGAAGATTCAGAACCTTCCGTGAAGGTCGACTAGCTAAGGCACATATAAGCACACACAAGCACTCAACCCCCCCCCCCTCTCTGGTCCCTGTGGAGGCAGGCCCTTCGATGAGCCACAAACATCCACAAGAATAAAAAGATGTGCTTTTCTGCCTATTTGGCAGGTCACAAGAATCAAAAAGTATTTCAGTCTGATCATTTGAAGTTTGAACATCCCAAAGACTTGGAAGTTCATGAACCACCAAAACTCCTCTTCTGATAAGTAGTTACTTTATTTACAGGATCAGATCCAACTAAAACACAACTATTAAATGTGGGTTCAGAGAATATAAGCTATTGTGAGGAGACTTCAAAGAAAAGCTTAGTTGCAACATTTGCAGAAATACAAGTAAAAAAATTTGGGAGGAAGTGCATGACTTCTGCAGTAACAAATGATGGCCAAGGGACATTCATGGTTGGGAGACAAACACACTAATGAAGTTTAGGCAAGGAATCCTAATGGCTGATTATAAGAAGCAGAATAAATGGCAACAGTAAGAAATCAAGAGGTAGAAAAGGAAACGTTTGAGCAGTTCCCAGGAGGAGGAGAAAGCAAAATAAGGGATCTCATTCTCAGCACCAAATAATATTGTAAGAGCTCAAGCATGAAGAAGACTACATCTCCCTATGAAAAAGTATAATTAGCGCTGAACCTGTCATCCAAAATTCTATGAAAAATATGATGAATCCAACTGCAATTAGAACAACAGAAATACATACATGATCGGCAAAAATCCTAGGAAATGGCAGAGTCCATTTTACATCATAAGCCAAAATCACTCAGATAAACCAGCCAAAATCCAACTATAATAGCCTATTTAGGCACTTAATAAGTGCTGAAACAACACTCAACTATTTTTCGAAACTGGATTTTTATTTATTTATTTTGAAACTGAACAGCACTAAACTATTTGTCTCATAGCAAGAAAATAATACTATCGAAAGAAGCACTTTATGCAAATAAAACAAAAATAGCCACCAAATTATATTCTATACCAAGTAGGCTGTTGTTTGTTAATCACATTCAACACCTTAAGGCTTAAATTGAAGAAAACAGGAACTAGACACCTGAAGAGGATAAAGAAATAATCATGATAATCACTTCACAAGTGATTTAACATGTTACATGCCACTGTAACAAACTTTGCAGTAAAACAAACTTCACCATCTCTAAGAAAAAAGATCACTGGAGTGACTGGACCCATATTCACTAACAAGCTTCAATTCATCCATTAAGCATATTATTGTTAATTTATTGAATCATGGTAGTGGACTATTTTGTTGTTTGTTGTATTTGATATATAATTTAGCATTTTAAATAAATAAGTAACACAATTTAAACAAGTCAAACAAGATAAAAAAAAATTCCAAATCAACATGTTTCCTGCTTTTAATTAATCCAACTCAGTGGTGTCGAGGATAACTCATTCTTCAGCAACATAGATATTACAGGCTTTGATGTCTTCACACTTATATTTAACAGCAATATCACACAAAGAAAATATTGGTATTCACACTCAGATATGCAGTTCTCAGATTGATAAGCCAACTGGAAGTCCTCAACTAATTAGGGACACCTAAACGAAATATCTGTTCAAACAGATGTAAAGTTTGAAATCACATACTGGACAGAAATGTATCGCTACTGCATCACATCCACATGATGAAAGAAGTTCGAAACATAACAACCATCATCCGTGTGTTAAAGACAATTAACACATTACATCACACAGCACCAGCTTTTTGAAAATGGTAGCAGTACATAAATTTCAGCACGAAGGCTGTGCAGGAGCCATATTTACAAGTCTCACAAAGCTACACAGTATCCCAGTTCTACTGTCACACAGCAACAGTTTCTACTGTCATCTACATATCAAGGAAATGCAGATAAATGTCATGTATCAGCTTATGCGGAACCTTTTCCCCTTTCTGATAAATTAACTTTACACAGTTTCTAATCTGATTTAGGTAAGACCAAAAAAATATAATAAAGTAATTTAGGTGAAAAGAGGCCTCTTGTATGCATGGTTAAGCATGATAAGCTAGACCTAAGGTTACGCCTGACTAGACCAAAAAAATATAATGAAGTTAAAGTTCTCCGAATAAGGACTGGAACCAAACCTGTCAAGAGAGACTGGATGTGAGCCAGGAAATTGCGGGCCTCTACCCTGAAAGGCAAATACACCAAAAGGTATTATGAGTTAGAATTGAAACAGCAGACACATCTATATTTTGCAGTAAGTCGTCTACATAATCCACAACTGCACAATAGAAAGTGAGTCCATAGCAAGATCAGAAAATAAAAAGTAATGCACATAAACAATACAAGAAATTTCCATTTAATGCAACAATTATACAGACACCAACAGAACCAACTGCAAAATTCCTACCCCTGGGGTCATTTTCAGTGCTTTATAACAGAACTGTCGTAAATGATTTTGCTGATCTTGTGGGATTGCATCTCCCAAAATGTCATCATTTGAGGTTACTACTTGTGCTTCAAGATTGTCCTGAGAAGGGAGAAAATGAGTTATGAGGAAATTATAAAAGCTCTGTCGAATAAATAAACCTTAGTACACTGCAAAAGTGTAGAGACCAAAACCATAACATGTTGGTATAAAGATGTAATCATAGGCATCTGTAACCTTGATTATGTTATCATGCTGAATTTATACAGTAGAGCCTGCACCATTTGAATAGATTACTAAATTGAGTTTCTAGGACAGTGTTCTAGACAATTGTTAGGAATGTGAAAAGTGGAACAGTTGGTTGGAAAGATGTCAAAAAGTTTGAAAAAACTTAGTACACTGCAAAAGTACAGAGACCAAAACCATAACATGTTGGTATAAAGATGTAATCACAAGCATCTGTAACCTTAATTATGTTATCATGTGGAATTTGTACAGTAGAACCTGCACCATTTGAATAGATTACTAAATTGAGTTTTCTAGGACAGTGTTCTAGACAATTGTTAGAAATATGAAAAGTGGAACAGTTGGTTGGTAAGATGTCAAAAAATTTGAAGTAATATAAGTTTTTATTAGTTTGAATGATGGGAACAGAGACTTCTCATTTAACGAAGGATCATATTTTTGGACAGATCAAATGGAAAATGGAAAGAAACAACAGGTATACTGCCATGGAGTAGTAGATTAGGCGACATCAAGCAATAACTAGTCATTCTTCTTAAAGATAACATGATTTCACAAACAATACCCCTCCTTTCACTTCAGTACAATCCTCACGAACCCCCATTCCTTCTCCCTCCATCTGCATTGCCTCCCGTCTTTGTTTTACACACACACCCTCCCCCCGGATGCACTGCCCTTCTTGCCTCTCTTTGCCCCACTCACACCTTCTTTACTACACCACCATGCCCACCTTTCTCGCTCAACTCTCTGGCTCTCTTAGTTAAGTTTGTTTTTCTGGAATATAAACTTTCAAATAGTAAAAGGTGAATCAAATCGGACATCAAAAATATATAGTTGAATGTCTGCATACACTCGCTTTCCTATGTAGATGCAGTCCTACAAATTAATTATTCAATAACCATTTTGATAAAAAGCCCAATCGTCAAAACCTTGAAAAGCAGTGAAGGAGTGATGATAGAATATAACAAAACACCAAAATGCTTTTTCCCCAGCAAATGATTAGAGAAAAAGGAGGACGAACTTCGTTTATCTTTCTATATTATGCTTGCTCCAAGTCTAAACAAAAGTTAGATCTCTTCTAGCACTGTTTAGCCACTTCTGTCGAGCTTTTAAGAAAAAACTAGATTTCTTCTTGGGTGTGTCTTTCTTTAATTGGTGGAGTGAACCTCGTTGATCTTTCTAGAAGGTCAGCGAATATGACACCGTTAGCATGTGTATTTTTTAAAAATTTCATGCCAAAGACTCTTTTTCAAGTTAGAAAATATTATGCTTGCTCTAAGTCTAAGCAAAAGTTAGATCTCTTCTACCACTGCTTAGCGAAGAAAAACTAGATTCTTCTTGGGTGTGTCTAAATTGGTGGGGGACCAAAGGCGATAAAATAGGCTGTCGATGGATGTAAAAACACTCAAATGCAAATGAGAAAGAAATTGGCAAAGTACAGTGTTCTCAGCATTTATAGGAGAAATTCTTTCAATCAAGAAAGAACAATCCTAGGAAACCTTTATCATCACATTAAGCCACCCAGGCCGGACATTAAAAAAATGGAAGATATGACCCAAAATTCTTCAGCATTAAATTTTGGCTACTTATTTCACCCTTAATCCGCTAACTCCATAAAGGGCTGCTGGGTGGGAATGGACAGATAAAGGAGAACAAGAGATCATTTTCTTAATTATCATTCCAGAATTGAAATGAAATTGAGGATTCATATCCTGACTGAAACTAGTTTGGGATTGAAGCATAGTTAACGCGGAGTCTAAGGAAAAGAAGTCCTCACTCTGAGAATAACATATCAACATTTTATGGTACAAATTTCATCGAACCAAAACGAAAGTGAATATTAAGACCATACATGGAAACGTCTCATGGCTGATGAAAGGAGACTTGCATAAGGTGGTTCAGTATATCTAGCCTAGACAGGCATGAGGCATTAATGACCAGCCCTTCCTAATTCAAGTAATCTCTGATTAGCAATCATGCCTTCAAAAAGCTGTGGCAATCCTTGCATCCCAAGTATTGCAAGGTCGTTACTCAAGAGTTCCTCATTTACAATCTCCATTGGCAAAACGACTTGGGAATGTCATAAATTGGTAATTTCCATAATCAAGCTTAATGTTGCACTCAAAATCAAGTTCCACTAATTCTCACCATAGAAGTATCAGAAAGACAGAAAGTGATAGGTTTCTCATTCTAATGTCGAGAGCCACTAGAATGGCTTAGTGTTTACATTCAATCAAATTCAACACCGCACAAGTGGAAACTGAAGGCTTGCATTTCCATCAGAGAAGGAAAAACAACTGAAGGCTTACACTTTCATCAGAGAAGGAAAAACCAAACACTTCAACCACTAATAAAGTTCAACAATATCAAAGAGGAAAGTTCCCTTGCAGAAACACATACAGTCAAAGGAGCTGCAGGACCTCCATCGTCATCGTCATCTGGCATAGCATCACCATTCAAATCAAGCTCAGAAGATTTTTTCCACTCAGGTGTTGGTGGACAAACAACCATTTCAGGTTTTTTCTCATGATAGAAGGCATATAGGGCATCGATATAGTCTGGCTTATAGATCCCAGGAGGACGAGCATCAGAAAAAACTTTAATTGCCTGCATAAAAGTACTCTCATTATTCATACTCAGAGATATGTGGTTAAGTTTGAAGCAAGAAGGATGTAGCATCACAAAATTACTGACCTGACTGACAGATATTGGCAGCGTACGCATAAGATAATGAATGATCATAAACCCAGTGCGATTATGCCCATGTGTGCAATGGACAAGAATATACTTCTTTGCATGTTTCTGACGGGCAAGAAATTGTGAAACCTCATAGAAGCCATAAATATTAGTATCAAGCTCCTTTCAATAGGATATAACATTCAGCGAGGATGTGATAAAGTTAGCCTTTATTTGCTTAAAGCCTTGAACAGAATAAAACTCATATGACAACACGCTTCTCATCAATGATGAGTCCTAATACTAAGAAATCTAACTAGAAGTTAACAGAACACCTTTCGAATACTCTGAGGAAGTACAGTACTTTTTAATCTGAGACAAATTCTGACAAAATACAGTTTCCATTGCAAATACAGTATTCCCCGCAACTTTTCGCATCGGAAAAAGAAAAACATTAAAATGGATTTTCAAGTTCATAATGCTTTGTTTTCCTTTAAAAAAATCAGGTGATTCTTGGTCCAATTGAAACATCTTCTCTACGGGGTTGATTGGGGGGGGGGGGGGGGTTGGATACGTGATATTTATGTGAATTGGGACGACCCAAGGAGGAAATGCAGGATACAATGATGTTCCTATTCCTATTAATAAGATAGGATAGTCCTAGTGCACTAAGCTCCCATAATGTATGGGGTCCAGGGAAGGACGGACCACAACTTTTACTGTTGTGTCAAGGCTCTCCTGACATCTTATGTGAATTGGGACAATCCAAAAAGGAAATGCAGGATCCAACAATGTTCCCTTTTCCTGTTAATAAGACTGTAGAGCCCTAGTGCATTAAGTTTCCACTGTCAAAGGTCCAGAGAGGGGACCATATTTTTTTGATGAAGTGTTTTATAAATCACAAAGGCATCAAGGAGATGCATAGTTACAAAATAGGAGGAGATATCAGCTAAAAAGATAACAAAAATCCAACAAGGAGACCATATTCGATCTACTGATCTACTGTACACAACATTATATTGCATTTCCACAAAAACTATTTTCACAGCTTGAACATATGACGATCTAATAACACGATGACAGCTTTTACTGTTACAACAAGGCTCCACTTGAAGGAATGGATTACATTCTTTCTTTTGATAAGAATGGAGCACATTCATAATATAATATAAATATTTACAAAACATCTACCCTATCATTCTCAAAATAGCTTTTTCTTTTAATTCCTAGAAGATTACAAACAAATTAGTGATTGACTTTGTTTTCCACTTGATTGGCAAACAACACACATTAATAATTGCACCAAGTGTAACATATATGATAATAAATCTGTAACAGCGAAGATCTAACCATGTATGGATAAAGGTAAGCAAACAAACTTGTAGTACTTTACATGGCAAGTAATGCAAGCTCATTCTCAGGTACAGAATTCAACTAAACATGCAACCAACATATATAAAATTACCTCAGAGACAAATAAATTTACAGACTCATTGTCAGGTGCAGAACCGCGGCCTCTGCATTGAATCTGATACACATGAAAGAGTAAAAATCAGGACAACAACAATAACTCAAAGAGAAAAAATATGCCCCCGTCACCTATTCTCCTCCATGACTTTATTACCATGTACCAACCTTTACATGCTTGATGCCTTCTTTCCTCCAATCTGACAATGAATAGTATCGACTTGTATTGGTGAGATCAATCACCATACCAAGCTGAAATTAACATGCAATGAGTCAGTTATAGTTTAGAAGATCCTGTGTTGTCAAGGCAACCCAAATGAATTAAGAGGTCAGAATAAACAAGGCATCTAATGATTGTGAAAGTAACCCAAATGAATTAAGAGGACAAAATTAACAAGGCATATAATGTTCCTATCATACTAAGTGCAAAACAAAATAGTATATAAGCCTCAGCTTTGACATAAAACATCTCCAAGATAGTGATATAAAACATCCCTAAAACCACAATTCATATGCAGCAGGTTATTCACTGATTCAACTTGTTATTTAAGTCAAAATTAGAATCTAGAGGATATATATACAACAAATAAAAGCATTACCAACAACTAAACAAGAAAAGCTTCAAACAACAATAAAACTCTTCCTCATGATAACATCTAGGAATCAAACTTTTTTATATTGTTGAAGGTTACTTCATTGAAAATCCAGTAACAAGAAAGTGTTGTAAAGGTATATACAGAGGGAGCAGATCATCATTGCTGTAAGGAATCAAATATTTTGAAGATAAAATCCACGTTAAGGGAATGAATAAGGATCCAAATTCAGGTTAACACACTCACTTTTCTTCCTAAAACTCTCTGTTGGTGGAGGACTTGCCTAAACGAGTATCTTTTGCCAGGAAGAACACAATCGTTGAAAGTTTCATCCAATGGAACCTTTGAAGGAATAATACAACCTATCTCCTGTCCAAATGCAGGACAATCCAACCAACCTGCATATGCAATCCAAAAGATAAGTGATGGCATCGAACCATGAGCAGCAAGGAAGGGGGGGAAAGGAGAGAATTAAGAACCTGTGATAAGATAATAGTCAAAGAAGGCACAGTAAAGTTATGTGCAACCTAGAGTTACACTTAGATGACAAGAGCAAAAAGAAAGATGGACTTAGATGACGAGAGCAAAAAGAAAGATGGACTACACGGAGGGAAGCAGGAACCTTTCGCTACTTCAACAAATCACACACACACACACACGACAAAGGGGATAAGTGACACACAATAGAGAGAGAGAGTGTGTGTGTGTGTACACAAAAAAAAAAAACCTGGAGGAAGTCTGCTGCTAGGTTTCTGTCTCTTTGTCTGAAAGATCTCATCCCGCATTCGTGGTTGAGATGGATATGCTGGTCTATCATCTGGATGTTGTCTTTTAAGTTTTTGAATCCTTTCCTCCCGCTCCTAAAACAAACAGCATTTAGAAAGAGGGCATGCAAACTAGAAAATAATTTTTTGACAGGTAAGAGATAGAAAACTAGAAAAATATAAATTTAAAAAAGAAAATTAAGTCTCCACAATAATAAGATTCACAAGAACATACCCCTATCTATGGGCACTTACTCCCATGTTCCTATCCCTTTCCACTATCAAAGAAAGAAGTGACAAAGAAGCAAGTTCTATTTCTTTATTTTCTCCCCCATTTGACGGAGACGAGATTGGTAAAAGGAGGTACAAAGTGTGGAACCAAAGATAGTTCAAATTAGATCAGTCAGATAGATGACTTGGAGATAACCAGATTACCAACAACAATGCTGAATTTCCCACTGTTCACTGTTCAACAACCACTCTTCCCCTTCCATTTGATGAGCCCAAACTGCCTGCAGGCTAAAACGGGGAGAAACAAAAAATAATAGGGGGGGGGGAGCAATTACAGGAGGAAAGAAAAGTAAGTTCATCTGTGTTCTTGGAGAAACCATTTTGCTTTAGATTTATTAGATGTTGTAAGCCCTTGAGCAATTAGGGGATTTCAACTCTCAGGATACTATTTAAAAAAAAAAATCAATTACATCCTCTGGATTTTGATTTAATGAAATTTTACTTTATTTACAAAGCTTTCTATTGGTTATTGCTCTGTCGAAGACAAGCAGCAAAGAAACAACCAAGATAAAAGAGACATGTATCAAACAAGGAGCCAAAAAGAAATATCCAATAAAGGAGCAAGTTCAAGTAGTAGTACAGTTCAATAGTTGATAGAGCGAGCAGTATAAGCAGAAACATACGCGACGTGAAATCTCTACAGCACTCGTGACATAATCTGCACGCTCATCACTATGTAAAATAGGTTCTTGTGGTTCATCTTCTAATTGTTGTCCAAAAATCTCGTCGTCATCCTCTGGCTGTGGCAAGGCATTCAGATCCATGCTGGTGATTCAAGTCTCAACACAAAGCATACGTCAAGGTGCCTGTAAGCAATTTATAGTTCTGCTCCTGCAACAAACAAGAGTGGATATCGAATTGTTCAGATAAAAAATAAGCGAATAATCTTTTATGAAAACTGAAAAGTCTGAATTTATTCAAATCTCAATGCATCATCCAAATATTAAATTTTAATGAACCAAACAAACATCATAAATTTGGATATTAAAGAAATACAAAACCTAACACAAAAGGAAACAAAGCGGGAGATTAGATGATATGAAACAGAACAATAGTTGACTCGAATGATAGAATACAACCCTTTTAAGGGCCAGATACTAGAGAGCAAAGAAACATATCAACCCAAAACCCTCACAGTGCTCTCCAGAGTGTCATCATTTGAGTTACATTTGGAGTCCCCAATACACAAAATCGTCAATTTTGAAGGAGAGAGAGAATAATTGTTTATGAATGACCATAGTCATGAAGCAACAAGGCAAATAGCAGGTAACTATCTCTAATTTAGCAGAAACCATCCAAGACAGAGTTAGTGTAAGTGTAATTTCAGAAGTTGAGGAAATGAGTGAACCTTGAACATGCGGGAAGGGTACATGAATTTAACCCTTTGAGACATTATGTACATTATACACGATTATGGGTTTACTTTTATGCTCCCGTCTAGAGTTCGCAATTACAAGCTAACTTTGTTTGCTTTAGACATTGATGCATAGGCACGTAAAAAGAAGGAAAAAAGGAACTTGAAATACAAGAAAGCTGAATATATTTGTCATCTGAACTAGAAAGTATATTGATCATATGATCAAAGGGAAAGAATGAAGAGTTTGTTGAATGACAAGATACAATTATATGGACTGCAAATTTATGACTGTTCCACAAAAGAAAAATTTGGCATTTGAAGAAAGGGGTCAAGTGAACCTAAGGGAACAAAATAGGATAAGTAAGACACTAAAGTCTTCTACCAATCAAAAGAAAAAAAGTGAGTGATTGAGGAAGTACTTCTAAAAGAATTTTTGTTCACTTATGATCCTAAATATAGAAGTTCATAGGCAAAACCTATTGCGAACTTGTGATCCTAAATATAAGTTCATTGGAAAAACTGGACCGGATGAATCAACCCTACAGGCACTAAGTGGAGAACAGTCTCAAAATAGGCAGAATAGTACAGACTTGCATGGGAAAAAAAATGCTCCCAGGCAAGTCTACTGAGGTATTCTCTATCCTACTTCCCAGGATTGTAGAACAGCCTCTTTCTGGAATTTGAACAGCTTGGTAGCTCAGTTTACTGTAATTGCTGTCAAAATCTTCTTTCTCTTTCTTCTTCTTTCAGATTTCACAACCTATCATCTCTGACAAGATCTCCTTTCTCTTTCTCTCTTTCTTTCTTTCTTTCTTTTAGGCCCAGAGTTATCCCAGTATGGACGACAATAGGATATACTTCAATGCCGGATGCAAATCCTTTGTTATTACCAGGTGGTCAGATAGCAAGGAGAGCTAGTATGAATCAGTAGAAAGAAGGAGTAACATGATGAGACAATCAACTCTTAGCACGTGTCTTGGATCTGCAACATTCTCAAAGAGGCATCGAAAGAGAAGACAAATTCAATCAGAAGATGGAAAACCAAGCACAAACTATCAGAATTTCTCTGCACTAGGAAGTTTAATGTATATGGTAGGTACATGAGCATCCTTTTGCTTCAGGGGAAAGGTAAGTCTGTAATAATAATTCCTGAGATCATATTAAATGGGGGTGGATGAAATAGCCTTTTAAGATTGAAAGGTTCATTAAATGCCACAACCAACTGAATATTACAGAGCCACACAGCATCAAAGGTTACCCTTTTGCTAAAGCTTCGTGCGAGAGTAAATGACAATCAAACACTCTCAGGGAGTCTAGTCTCTACAAATAGTGGAGACCTCTGTATTAGATAGGTTCCTCAGACCCCGGTTGTGGGATTACATGACACTGGGTATGTTGTTGTATCTGTATTACATAGGCATACAAATGCATCTGGAGGAAAGGAAAAAAAGGCTTACTTAACAAGTGTGGCATCAGAAAATTTCACGAGGAGTCAGAAAATCACATCATCGGAATAAAGAAATGAACTTCCATCTCTTGGACAGCTGCCTTTGGGGCCAACATTTATGATATGGAGGGGAATATGTTCTTGTTTGAGTTCCCAAACAGGTACATGGCATAACAAATTCTGTGGAAGGAGTAGAGATGGAGGACAAGAAATATTAGCTTGCTCTGGTGGAGCCCCACGACAGGTTGTCTACCAGCTTCCCAGAAGATTGATGTGAGCAGCAGGATCCCATTACACCTCTGGTCGCAAAAGGTTTTCATTGAAATTGGAAATATATGAGGTGGATAAGTAGCTACTGAGGAAGAAACTGAACCCAACAACCATCTCAAGTGAGCGAGAATCAAAATTGGGGGAGATGGTTGGAATTGTCCGAATAAAGTATCCATAGAAAGAGATGGGTACAAGTATCACTTTTTCAGATATTGGTCGAGAAGAAAGCAAGATTTGAAAAGACGTCACAGGTGATGCAGGGCATCAAAGAACCTGTTGGGCCAAAGGATTCTTTGGAGTTTGGACCCTAGGGCAAAGGAGTTGAACAATGTGGAAAAAGAGTACGATTGCAGGCAAATTCAGACTGTATCAATGGCAACGCATGTGGAGACAGTTGTTCACAACCTAGGTTAGTTGAACATACTACATAAGTGCCAGTGGACAACCTTAGGGGTCGGTTTGGTACTTGGTAGCTAATTTGGAAATGAATTATGTAGGTATTAAATTCTGCATAAGTAATACCACGTCTAGTACTTGCCTAGGAGGTAAGCTATTCATGTATAAAATTAATACAGTTTTAGGTTTGCAGGTTTGCAATTTAGAGATTCACATAACTAATACATGTATAAGTTATGAGGGAATCTATGTATTATTTTATGCAGGATAGAAGATGGAATAAGTAATGCATGAATAAATAACCCCTGCATAACTAATCTCTGCATAAAATGATACATAGATTCCCTCATAATTAGTTCATGTATTACTAATACCAACATAACTTTAACCAACTACCAAACGACTCCTAATGTATAGAGCTAACTCCCATGTGCTCAGGAACGAACGTCAGGGAAGGGTATCACATTACATTCAAAGGATTAATGGTATGACGTATGATAACCATGTTAGGCATAGAAGGAATAACCTCCTATAACATGAAAATTATCAAAGAACAACGACCAAATCACCACAAATTAAATCTAATTGGTTAAATATTTAAATCTTCACACCAATATTTAATACTCCTTCTGTCACAATTTTGATTGGAACTCCTCTTATAGTCTCTATCTCAAGAAGATGGCATCTAACATATTTAGCATCTAATTAATTTTTACATTCCTATTTCACCAAGGACATGACGTGTTTTGTAGGTCCCGCTAGATAAGAAAAACAAAGATTTTGGTATGGAAGGCACTTTTAGCCAAAATCTGTACCCAGCCAGATACTGCCAAACAAAATTGAGACAAGAACATAGTTTCTTAACGGATTCTCCATGTTTAACAATTCCAGCTTAACTATGCACATTTCGCTTATAGTACCAACTCCCCAAGGAGAAAGCTGCCAACAACAAGACTGACCACCAAACATAAAACACCATACTTCAAGTAATAAATGACATGTGAACTATGTCATTAGGTTGTCAAAGAACACTCCTGTACACTGACATCAATAGAAACCAACAAGTGTAACAAACCAATTCCATTAAGACACTTGAACAGCAAACGACAAACAGGACATGCTCCCCAAAGAAATCATACCAATGAAGCAAAAAAAAAAAAACAATATATCATCACGAAGCTCAGTCTCAATGAGTGCACAAACTAAAATTGTAAAAAGAAACACCATCACCAAGCATCAGTCACAGTCACTTCAAAAAACTATGACTTCCGAAAGGAAAAAAAAAAGTCAAAATCAATTTCCCACTAATTCTATGCATCCAGCATCAAGCGACATAACAATTAAACCCTAAAAACTATAATTATTAGCTCCAAAACTCTAAATTAATCCTTTTAAACTAATGTCATCCAAAATGAAGAAGAAGAAAAATGAATTCGAATTGCATATCAAAATAAAAATTAAAACTTTTAATAAGAAGAAGAAGAATTCATACCTAATAGAAAAGCAATTGCAGAAGCCAACGAATTAGAAGAACTCAGCTTGAAAACCAGAAGAAAACTTCACGCTTCACCGTACAGAGAACTGGAAAAACCCCTACAATTAACTAACTAGAAATTTTATGAAATCAAACCTCAAAATCCTAGAGAGAGAAGGAAGTGGCGATGCTGTTAGAGAGAGATCAGAGAGATTGATTCATGGTTCAACCCATGACGAAGAGAAAGGATTTACCGATTGCGAACAATTGAAAGCTCTCTCAGAGAGCGAGAAAGAAAAAAGTGTACGTAAATTGATCTTCTTTTCTTTCTTTTTCTATTTTCTAGTTATATATATATAAGGGATTTAGCTAGAGGGGTGGGGTGGGGGTGGGATGGGCTTTTTAGGTAATGGCTATTTAGGGAGCTTTGTATAAAGGTGATGGGTCGGAGGTCAAAAACGTATTTAAAGTATTTTAATTTTTTGAATCGTACTTAAATTATTATGTGTATGAGTTTATAATTATACCTAAAGAATTTTTATTTTTTGAATCATACTTGACGTTATGTTGCAAAGGTCTGAACACATAAACCTTTAAAAGTCTAGAGAAAATGAGTTGAAGATTCTTATTTGTAATTTAAGAAGGTATTAGCACTCA